GCTGTGCTTGTGGTTGAATGCCAAAGTTTGGGAGCTGGCGAAATGTTTCAGAAATATGGGAAGAAGAGAACTGCTAAGGTATGGACATTTTGAAAATAAATAAGTTTGATCAACTGTAAGAACACAGAAAAATTGTCAGTATGGAGGGCTTCCCTTGTCGTTTTACTGTCCAGCGGTTTTAGGATATCTTATAAATGAAGCTTTAGCTTTTGCATCGGTAGACGAAAATCTATGATGTGCTATTTAAATAAAATTTCTCTGACAGTTCCGTCAAGTTGTACCATCGTTTGTCAGAATTTCAAAAAATACGGTTAGAAATTTTTCTTTTATCTTGGCTTGGACCACATGGGCCAACTGAAGGGAAATTTGGAAAAAGGAATTTATGAACAGAAAATGCTAATTGATTTCTCTTTTCTAAAAGTCCTTATTTAAAAAATTGTTTTTTAAGAAAAGGACAGTTTACGTTACAATAGGAGTTAAATTACACCTCACTACTAAAGTTTTGAAACCTTTACCTTTGTCTGATCAAATACGAAGCGTGCTATTGTCACCAAAAAATAAAGCCGAATTCCTTATTTTTACTTTTACTTTCGCAATTTTAGCGATTCCACTTAAAAATTTCTCGTGAAATCAAGGAGGGGAAATTTGATAGCCTACAGTTCTATTTCCTGGGAATCCATTTGAAGAAATTGATGCCACACAAATTAAATTCATTTTAAATTCAATTTAAATGCATATCATATAACCTCAGTCACTGCACTGGAGATCATTGTAATATATAATGCTGTGCTTTAAAGCCACCAAAAAATGCATCTATTAAAAGTTTGGTTTGAGTTTAGGGCAAGATTATTGTTACGCTTAAGGAATTATAAACTTTGGCCCGAATAAATTAAGACTGAAAGCTTTTCACGATAAATTATTTCTTTTTGCACGATTTATCTGCCAAATCGCACCACACCCTGTTGTTAGCATATGCATGTACACTGAACTTTATGCATCATTCGTCGCTAGGCATACTGGGTGAAGAAACTGAGCAAAGATTTCTTGCAGATTGTTCTTTCGCACTGATATGATTGTAGTAACTGGCCTTTCTTTCGATTTTTTCTTTGTAGTGTCCTGTTATAACTTGCAAGGGACACGTCTTTTGGTAATTAATTTGACTTAATTCATTTCAGGGAACATACCAACTACATTTACAACGGAAAAAGAACATTTTTTGTGAAGTTTTGAACAAGTACTGCGCCACTGATCCCGAAGAAAGTGAAGATTCAAGAAATCTTGGCATGAAGTGATCACAAAGAGCAGTCCAGGGAAAAAATTTAAAAAATGCTTGAGGTCAAAACATAACAAAAAAAAACCAACAACTACAACTGAGCAATAAAAATTTTCTGTTATCTAGTAACACATAACGTTTTGTCCTTGATGTTATAATAGAGAGGTTTAGATTCCAGCGAGTACGAGACAACGAGTACGAGATTTTCTCAGTACTAATTAAGTAGTGCTCGCGCGTGAACCAGCGTCATTTTGGCGGGAAAAAGTGGTAGCCGTCGTCACGTCTTGTCACTCTACCACGAGTCTTAGCGGGAATGTCGAAGTGGTAGCTAAGTGGTGAAAACAAGTTATTAAATGTTAGAAGTTTTATCATTTTGGAATCTAATTAAGATCTCTAAAGGTCTCTGTTATCGAGTTCACAGTGATGCGCAAAATGCAACAAACGAATCTCCATTTTGACGGGGTGCGGCAAACACGGGCAGAAAGTGTTTTAAAAGAATTGAGGGCAAGCTTCTGTCGGACGGCTTCTAAGAAGTGCGTGCTATAACTAGTGGAGAACATGGCGATCACTCTCATTTCTCCCAACACTCTGTCTTTTTCAAAAACACAGTAATCCGTCAGGATGCAATTTTTTTCTCCGGTGCATCGGAGAACAAAAATGGTGTTTGGGTCGTCTATGCTAGACCCACAGGCGTGGCAGATTCCAAACCCCTCAATCCAGAACATTAATAAGAAAGCTTTGACTATGAGGACTTGTAGCACGTCACTTGTAAACTCTTACTGTGTCCACGTGCTGTAGTGACGTCATATGACGTGGTATTTAATAATTAATGCCTACAGATGATCGCCATTTTGAATCCGCCAGCTTGGATCTCGATTAGTCCTCACTTCCTCATATGAGTACAGGACTTTTTTCGACAATTCAGCCATAAGGGAGGGTGCTAAAACTCATTTTGGCTACATTTTGTGATGGGAGAGGAGGTAGGCACTTTCTCAGGGGGGGGTTACTTGGCAGTTTGGTCGGGAGCACACGCGGTTGGGAGCCTATTTGTCACACATCTCCCTTAATATACCTTTCCCCCCCTCTTCCCTCCCCCCCCCCAAAAAAACGTTGCATACCTTTTTGAATTTTTGCTTCTAATTTATCCTGGACATTACAGTCGCCCAAGAGAATTGGATGACAATGCTTATGCAAGTTTTTTTTTTTCAGGGGGGTGGGGGAGAAAGGGGCAAACAAACAAATTTCGTGGAATGTGCTAATTAGAGGTTTGCTGTTTTTTCGAAGATAAGTGCAGAAAGGTGTCAAAATTTATGTAAATGCGTTTGTCAGTACGCAAAAAAAGCAAAAAAATCCAATATGGCTGATCTAAGATGGCGGACGTTTGGAATTATGACGTAACAACCCGCACCCCGTTACCTTGAGTAGAGTTTGCAATTTTGCAATGTTGTGATCTTACAGACGCTTGAAAATTAAAATTGGAAAACTTGGCAAAAAATATAAGCCAAAACTGCAGGGATTTCGATAGCATTTGGAAGTATCGTATGCAGAGGTTCAGCGGGCGGACTCGCACCGTTCGCACCAGGGCGGATAAATGTTGGGCGGTGAAACGAGTGCTCCGCTCTTCATTTAATGTGTGATGCGGAGTAGGACTGGCGCGAGCGCTCTTTCCGCGCTTCCGGTGCGCTTGAAGGCCGGCGAAATTTTCCTTTTTGCAAACCGGAAATCCTATTTTCTTTCTGTAATTTCAGGCTACAATGTTAAATAGATAAATTCGTTTCATAACAATATCAATAAGCAGTTTCATATGTTTGTGTCTGTATGCCTATAAGTCAAACTTGCTGGTCGTATAATGCCAAAATTTGAGTTTAATTTGAAAGTGTTGAATACCTCCTCCATCCACTAAATATCACCTAATCGTCTTTCGCCGTTTCGTTTGCACAAGCTTAACACTTCTTAACCTCAGTTTTTACATATGTTAAAGGGGGATAAATTTTATATAAGATAACAAAAAATTAGATTGATATATTTTGATATAGTGGCGTTGTACTGCTTCAAACTTTGCTTCTCGGGTGCAACGCGCCATGGCGATTCGCGCATTGCGTCGCAAATCCGGCAACCGCATGTAAACAAAGTTTATTGAGGTTAGTTGTAAGGTTTTTTCTCCGTTTTTCTCTCTAAAACAAAACAAGGTAAACGGTGAAAACTGAGGGGAAACTAATTTTGAAGTTTCGAAGAAACAGAAAGACGTATGAGACCTTTTTTTCAAAATTAAAAACAAGGATGATGGTGATTGAAATTAGCATAATTTCACCTTGCACGAGCTGCACGCATTTATAAAATACACGTCATCTAGTTATGAAACACGATCTGTTGTCTTTTAGGTTTGCCATGGATGACATGGATGAGATTTTCCTTCGTGTTTTAGACAGTACTTAGTTGTTTTTGTTTTGGAATAAGATCGACATTGGCGAATAGTAGAACGAAAATATAATTCAGTTGTAGAGTCATGAGAGAAACCCTTTGAAAAAGATGTTTGTCTACTCCAATTAAACCACCCGCAAAAAATAGCAACATTTGACTCTCAGAGACAACGTGCCAGCACAAAGAAACGAGGAAGAAGTGCAAGAAAACAAATCAAGCCGCCATAATTCAGTGACAGCGGCAGTGTCTAATGGACAAACCACATCGCAAGCCCTGACGGAAGTCGAAAATGGGCGACATTTCTAAGCATAGTCCCAGTCCATTGCATCACACCTTTTTGCTCGGACGCGCTCGTTTCACCGCCCAACCTTTATCCGCCCTGGTTCGCACCGCAGCCCGCAGGTGTTAATGTTGAGTACCGGAGTAAAAAACTTCCAGGGTGGGGGGTCCGGGGGCATGCTCCGCGCGGAAATTTTTATAATTGGACTCACTAAAATGCAATGCAATTTCATGCGTTCTCTGGATCGGAATCGGTTAACCGGCAAGGTATCTTAAAGCATTAATAAAATGCTCAAAAAAAAATGAAACATTTGATTTGGCAATTATAATCGTCGGTTTGCAGTTGTTTGTTTTTCACTTTTATTATTAATAAATGAAAAAATGACACGACTTTCGCACTTCAAAAAATAATTATTTTGTGTGTGGACTATCGGATGTTATACTAACAACCAGAGAGTGTCCTGCGCCCGGCTTAAAACGAAACCCCTGAAAACCGTTCCTATGGCGGAGGGACGCTATCTTTTGGTTAATAAGAAGGAAAATTATTACTTTAGTCAACAAATGAAGAAGTAGCCAAGATAAGATACACTAAGAAGCGAATATATTATTTCCCAGTAACAGCCCTTTATTCTATAAATTCCTGAGTTAAATTAAGGATAAATAAATTACGTGCCACCCTGTATCCGCAAATAAATGTTAACATAGCTTTACAATTATTCACTTTTGCATTTCTGGGCATTAAGTCGAGAATCGTTAATTTCTAGTCTCTTTCTGTTTTTTAATTTGAATTTCCTCAGTACCAAACTCCTCTTGTAAGATGTGGAGGTGGTGAGCTGCTAGGTTGAGTCTTCTTTAATATATATCTTACATCGGGCGTGTTATTTTCTCCCTGAAAGATGCAGAAATGGATGTTAAGGCATGAAATAACCTACGAATCCACGTGCGTTATCGACCAAAAAATGTTAGAACAGCGTGTGTCACAGGCTGGGGAAAAAACGAGACTTGTGACCCGTTTGATATTCACCCTTTAATCACACTCCCAATCCATGAAAGGTGCCCCGTACCACCGGGGTGTATGTCTCTGTCTCCGACCGGGAATCGAACCCGGGCCTTCCGCCTTAAAGGCTGGTACCCGACCGATTAAGGTAACCCGGCTATAACAATATCCCTTAAAACAAATATGGTTAATTTATGAATTGCTTTCAGCACTAATGTCTGTCGAACCCATACGAACCGCCGTGTCCTTGACACAAGACAGCAGGAGGTGAGTGCTGGCCTAAATTAAACTTTGCCTAAATGTGCCTCAATAAATAAACAAAGAGCTAAAATTGTTATTGCACAAATTGTACATTAAGGGTATTGGAGATGGGGGTGTGTGGTGGGGCGTATTTTCTCTCACCCCTGGGAAAAAACGAAGGTGGAACCTCTAATTCAACTCCTGCTTGTACACTTTAGCACGGTAATTAAGCAGGTGTTTTTCTAAGGATGGCTGAAAGATGATTTTTCTAGAATAAGATAACCAACTAGTTGTATTGTGTTCATCACAGTTAAGCTATTTTTCCGACATGGCGACTTGGTATGTTACTTTTTTAACAATATGTAGGACACGTACCTTCCCTGGAATCTCAGCGTTTCTCTTTTTGCAGTATTCCGGGTTCAGTTGACAATATTCCTGGCTATATATAAAAGGACTGGACATAACTTCATCCGCAAACAACAATCCCAAAAGAATCACAATCATCGTCATTTGAACCAAGCTTGGAGAACGTGATCGCATAATGTCTATCGTTAGGTAATAAGAAATCTCACTGTTCTTTTTCGTTATCCAAAAAGGGAGAGACTGAAGAAGCTGTTGAAGGCATCGGGTGAGGGCTTTCTTTTAAAAGCTCTTGAGCCCAACACGACATCTGATGACATGTACGTCGGTCGTTTTCAACAAAGATGACAAAGTGATTTTAGAGAGTTGTTTAAGAAGGCTCTCGACCGCTCAAATTGTTTTAGCCTCAATTACAATTTTTACGCCTACCTCAGCCCACGCGGGTCAAGCGCTCTCTATGGTATGGAGGGTTAACCTAAGAAATCAGCTATAATTTCCTCGAAACCCTCCGATCCTAATTTTCGCTGCAGTGACTTCGAACAAAAAGTTATATCCTTCGTCTTCAAAACTGATTTTAATACAGCCGGCACACATTAGAGTGAGATGCTTTCAGGTTACTTTGAATAATTTTTGCCGCATGAATTTGCAAGCAATGTCCTCTGATTCATAACCAAACGGATCACACATATCAGTTACTTCTCATGAACAAGTCCTAAGTTTTGTCAGTTATACTTCCTATAAAAAAACGAACTTACAAATTAATTCATTCTAAAATCTCGAAAGCTGAGAATTATTAGCAGGCAGGTTAATTCAATCATAGTGTTTTCCGATTCGGAAATTGACTTCAAAATTACTCAGTTAAAAGCACCGTAAACACAGAGATTAACTGCGTTAATGGCACTTTTTTCGTCAGTCGGGGCACTTATAGTCTGGAGGATGAATTTAACTTCCGTGTTTTTATTCAGCTCGGTGACAAACACTCATTTTGGAGCTAAACGTTTCCTCTTTTCCATCCTCCGGTTGGCTAAGCAGTTTGGTGATCTAGTGTTGATTCTAGAGATAAATCGAGTCCTTTGTATTCGCACTTAAAGTCGCACATGGTGAAACGCAACTCGAAATTACTTTTGCTTTTTGAATAAAAAAAAGTGACCTTCACGAAAGAAAAAGACAATCAGGGTTGTCCTCAGTTTCTGTCGCGCATAAAGCAAAAAAAGGACGTATTTTTCACACATATTTTTAAAAAACGCCTACGTTTTAGGAACAAATGCTTTCAGTAACATTAAAAGGTCAAAATTAAAGAGAGAAAAGTTTCCGATCCACGGAATAAAAGCTGTCCCCACGCTGTTCATTTGACTGCCGGAAACAGCTTGGTTTCCGACGTCGACATTGACGTCAGTTGCTCTAAAAGGCAGTTTCCGGGCACGTTCTGCTTCGTATTTAATAGATGGGTTTAATCAAGCATTCGATACCTTTAATCGGCCCCTTTAGGGACTTAAATTTTCAACGTTATTGTGATGTCTCAGAACACCGAAAGAAAGAGCAGAAATAAAAGTATTCATCCCCCAGTGTTCAAGTATATTGTTCTCTTGGCGTCTCCATCAAGTTGAATTATAGTATGCAGGAAAAGATATTTTCTCAAGTGGGCAGGTGTTTTGCTTACAAGAGGAACGAGGACGATTTGACTTCCTCTTGAAGGTTCAAGTCGGTACCCTTAACACGTATTTTATCAAAATTCGAACACTAGGAACTGCCACCCAAATTGAGTCAAACAGAAAAATAATCGATCAAAACATTCAAAGAAGGTATTGATAATACAAACTGAGTAGGCACAGATGGACGCATTTAAAGAAAATAAAAACGGACTGAAATTGTGGGTTTTTGAAAACTTTTTAGCCTAACAGTTTTTCAGTTTTTTTTTATTTTTCACCTTGTTGCTTGTAACGTCTGATATAATGCTTGGCAAGTATACTTCCCGGGGGGGGTACTCGCAGAAAAATTGGGTAGGGGTGTGCGGCCCGCTTCCCAAAACCCTTACCCTATTTATGACCAAAATCTGCGATTTTCCCTACCCTATTTATGACCTAACCAAAAATTTGATACCCTATTTTGTGAAGGGCTTTTGTTGCTTGTTGCTTGTTGCTTGTATTTTCTAGCCTACAAAGCAGCCGGTGGAGAGGAAGGCAAAGCGCGGATGGAAGGAGGGGGACATGATAAGGAAGTAGCTTCTTCTAAAAAAGTGCATTCAAGACTACAGTGCAAAAATCGTTACCCTATTTATGACCAAAATGGCGGTTAAATAGCCAAAATCGATACCCAATTTATGACCAAAACGGCTGAAAAACCCTACCCTCTTGGGCCGCACATACCTATATAGCCCATATAGGGGGAGTACCCCCCGGGTATACTTGTTGGAAAAAAGCAGCTATTTTGTCGTTTACAACCACTTTCCTCGTTGATGTTGAGTTCCATAGTGCATTGCTGGTTTGCACGTGACGTCACGGCGGCCATGTTGGTGGTCAAGAACAAAAGCATTTCTCTCCTCTGGGAACTAAACTCTATTTTCATGTAAATTCTTCGAGGAAATATTCTTTTGTTTTGACCCCCAACATGGCCGCCTTGTCACGTGGTTGCAAACCAAGAATAAGGAAGCGTTATTGTTTGGCAATATTAAAATATTAACTGGACACTCGAAATCCACATAAAATAACATAATAGCTTCGAAAGCTTTTGAAATCAGTTTAAAAAGCCATATAAAAGCCTCTATAAATCACCGCTTTATTTTGACTTTTTTATGAAGACCAATATTGTTGTGAGATTTTTTGCCGTGTTCACAGAAGAATTTAAAATCCAACGGTTATGTTAATCTTTGTCTCAAAACCGCCTCATTTCCTTTTTTTGGAAATGTTTCTCGTTCAAAATAGATTTTGTTGAGCTCGCACTTAAAGGAGTGCTTTGTATTCGTCTCGGCAGTAAAGGGGCTGTGAAATACGATTTCGTCCCCTTATCGACCTGACGGCCAATGTGACGGCTAATAAGGGCGAAACAGCTGTCCATGGAGATATGGCTGTGCGCATTCGTTGGGTACAAGCCAGGCCGTGGGATGGTATGCGTGTTACTTGCTTACAGTTTGTCTTATTAGAAACTATGAATCTGTGACATCATTCAAATGGGCCAGAGCCTGCGATCAATTAAAAATCAATACGTGTGAGCAGAGAACTTTACAAAAACACGTCACCTCAATGAGATGAGCCCGCGATACAGTCATGTTACAAGGGTCAGCGGATATCCCATACTGACAGCTGTCAGTTGACCATCATCCATAACATGGTCAACATTGATTGTGTATGCATTGAACTCCAAGTGTGACATTTCACACCAGCTTACATGAACGGGAGCACGTATGTACGGACGATTTTGTCAGAACCGAAATTTCTTCGGATGCATAGATAACCAAATTTTATTGCCCATGGCGCTCTTGGTAGCATCTAGGTTACCACAACTCTTGTATTAATACAATTAAAATTGTTGATACCATTAACTTTAAACTCGCTATGGCCTTCGCAATTACCTGCTTGTAAAAGAAAAACTCCTATTCCACCCGAAGTTACCTAGCGCTCTATCTAACAAATTCCCCGGTACTTCAAACGCTGGATAGTACTATCCACCGCAGATGTAAAATCACTATCAAGCTGATAAGTATTAGCGAAACCAATTGTGCTACCTATTGGATAGAGATTTATCAAATAAGGTATAACATACATAATAAAATTGGCGATCACTGGGCTTCAATATTTTCTTCCAACTGGTATGTTAAATACTAATAAATATATTTATCAAAATAATTTAAATTTTGTTAGCTGTACACCAGGTATTTGTGAATGGTTGCTTTCATGTTAGAGACGTTCAAGTCTAACGTCTAGTTTAAAAACGGCAAATAAGACAGAGGCATTTAACGTCTGACGACTTTGTCGTCTTCTGTTAAGTTCGTCCGTTCAGAACGCGCCCAACTCGTCTGTAGACGACTGCGAAGAGTCAGTGTTTTGTCTTTTCGGTTTTTAAAAAACTCTGTTTTTTTTTTTCAATCATGTCGTCTACTTTTTTGTTTCCCCTTTTTTCACCAGACGGATTCAACATCTAAAACGCTAAATGAGTCTAGATGACTTTAACGTCTTAGCATAAAAACGGCCAATCACGGCAAACTTACGTATACATAAATTTGAGAGATATCAAATTTAACCTGTTACAATGTACACAGTTAATTTTCTCTAAGAAGGTCACCGTGGAAACCAACTCCAAGTATCCGTCTTAGATAGGATTCCGCCTTCTAGAGCCGACTGGGTGTCTGCTGAACGTCTTAGTTGCCGCGTATCTCTTCTTCTTCATTTCGTTTCTTTCTTATAATCTATGTGAATCTTCGAAACAACCCTTAATCTTTTATAGTTTATAGTAACCCCTTTGTTTTTTGTTGTATGCAACCAAACTAATATTCTCTTCAATATTTAGATTTTTGTAATCTCTCAATATTTAGACCTGATTATTGTAATCTCAGCAAAATATCAACTCAAAATTCGAGACAGGCCCCCCTTAAAAATTCGAAATTGTCGTGACATTTGAGTGGCTATGTCGAGAAGTCCCTTTGGGCATACATTGCTGAGATTGTCACAGCTTTAAGCCTCGAACGGAATCGAGTCCTTTACACACGAATCCGGGTATTTTTGAAACCGCCTATTTTTTTTATACACGAATCAACCTTCCGTCTCCACGAAACCAGTGAATCCGCTGACTGAAACTGCATCTTTCTGAGACCGATTTCCAGCGTGGTTTAAAACCCTGTCCACACCAATCCAGGAGAAAAAATATGCGGCTCCAAAAATGCACGGATTGGTGTGGACGCGGTCTAAAATTATCTGACAGTGATTTGGCAAAATATAAACAACAAGCTTTAACTATTACACAGTGGAAAGAAGCTTCTTGTCATCATTCCCGGGTGTGGCCACTTGAGACGGGGGAGGGCTTTTGTTGCTAAATGTGATAAACGCATAAATCACACTTCCAACAACGCTGAAGAGAAAGACGTACAAGGCAGCGTTAAAAGTCTTTATTGACTAAATGTCCATGAGGGTTATAAATCAAAATGCGAAAAGCTTTTTGAAGAACTCTTGTGAGTTAGCGTCTCTTCTATTAGTATACAATTCGTACGCATTTGTACGCAGTGTAACGAGGAGAAGAGAGAAAAGTTCGAAATCCAAAAACCCTTTTAACGTCTTTTAGCACACCAAACAGAAGTAGATCACACAAATTATTTGTGTGATCGACCAATCGTGAGGTCAAATGGATGGACATTGGCCAAGTTCCTCTTTTGCCTTTTTATGAACCGAGACGAAATCGAAGTCAACAGATAAAGACGCACAAAAGAAACAGGCCAGTATGAAGCAATCTGGACCGATCAAGCTTGGTCCATAAAGGATTTATTACATAGCCAAAACGAAAACCGTTTCTTATTGGACCATCGCGGCAAACCCCGAGCAGTGCAGGCAAGATGGGCAGCCAATCAGAACACAGGATTTGCTTATTCTTGCCCCCAAAACATTCAAATCCCGTTTTGCTCGCACGCGTTTTCCCGCGGTTTGCGCCAGCCGCATAGATTCGCTTTGTGATTGGCTAAAAAAAACAACTCTCGCCATTTTCTCAACCAATAAGAGGGAAACAGCAACGAATGGTGGCATGCTTCCACGTGTTTTGCCGCGCTTGAGACCAGTTACACGCAGTGTTTGGACATCTGTTAGGTTTTGTAGAAAACACTGTCTGTGCCTGATATGTGAGTATTAATTTCAATGCATTCCTCCCTTAGCCTTAATGGTACATGACCAGTGTTTCAGCCCCCAAAAAGATAAAATCACAGTCATTCTCACCTTATATTGAGTCCAATAAAATTGGTGACAGTGAAAACGTAGTCTCCACCAAGAAACATACCCATGTAAGTAACAAGAATATTCTAAGGAAAAAAAGGTCATCTTTGAATACGGTCTCAACATCGAGACCTTTACCCAGTGAAGGTCTTAGAAAGGTGTCGGTTCTCGGTTTTATCGTGACCAGCAGAAAATAACTAAAGAATAACATCGACCTCGGGTCAATTTAATGAAAGTTTTACACGTGTAATAGCATGACTTGTAGTGATATTTGGCATAAATACCACGAGTGATATTTCGAATTTGTTATACGTAATTTCACGAGCCGTTAGGCGAGTGAAATTTAAGACAATTTTGAAATATCACAGGTGGTATTTATGCCAAATATTACGTACAAATCATGCTATTATTTGTTTATACTACTACCCACAAAAGGTTTGTAATTTTCACACGTAGGTATTTCAAATTAAGCTGGAATACCACTGCTCTAAGCCAATCAAATTGCAGAAATTTCTCATGTAGTAGTATAAATTACGTACAACAATTTCGAAATAACACTCGTGGTATTTATGCTTAATATCACTACAAATCATGCTATTACCTATACTAATTTACAAGTGTATCCACTGTTTTATAGTCTGAAAACAATAGCTACACTTGTAAATTACACTAGTAAATGTTCCAAAACCTGATGTCCGTTGAGTTGAGTTGACCCTTACGAAAGACAGTTGACCACAAAGTTTTTGCAGTGTTTTCACTAATATCCAAGGATTACCTAAAATAGGTTTTGTATCGCACGGTTTTTGAATGCTTAAACTGTCGAAACAATATCACTTACTAAAGAGAATCACCAAACTGACTGACTTTTAAGATAAAATAGAGGTTTCGTGAACAGGCTACTTTTTCCAGGATGAGATTGTTCGTTATGAGATTTTCAACTATAGTTTAGTTTACCTTTAAACATCCAACGATTGTCGTCGTGAGCGCAGAGTTTGCCTGAGTACACAGTACTATAGAGTACATTAAAATGAACCTACAAGCAAAAAGTGGAAATAACGCAATAACTGAAGATGCTTCATTAAAATGTCAAATCAGCTTAAACGCCCTTCCCCCAAGGAGTGGGATGAAAAGAAGGGTTTTCCAATCTCTTGTAAACGTCGCGTCAATCTCGGCTTTCTGAAGGACTGACAATTTGTCACGCTGTGAAAGCTATAGACAAAACTCCCGTAAGCGATTAAATGGATGCTAAAATCTTGTGGTCATTTCTGAGAATTTGTCGCCTACGAGACTGATTCAAACTATAGTACCATGCTTTGACTGGTATAATTAACTAGAGCTGATAACTGAATGCAGTATAAGATTAGATAAGCAGTAACGCACAATAGGGGGATCACTTTCGAGAGCTGATCACAAATGCTTTCACATGGCTGTGAAAAAGCCACAAAAATTTCCTGTCTTGTGATTTATTCATATTTAAAAAACAGTGCATTTACAGTAGTTGAAAGGGATACAAAGTCCTGAACATGAGTACATGAAAGGGGTACCATTTGTCAATGGAAGGTTTATGAAAGAGGTACCTTTTCGATCGAAAAAATGTTATATAAAAGGCAAGGGCTTGGACCTCGGGGCGGAGCCCCCCCCCCCGGTATAAAACTTTTGTGCGTATCCCCCCTCCCACCTCGACCTTTAAATTGATAATGAAATATGAGACAAGGTCAATGGCTTAACGTCACCGTCCTATGACGCGATGATCTGAACTGAGACAACATCTTATAACACAACCAGCATGATCTCACTAGTTTTTGTTTGTTGGTTAGTTGGTCCTACCGGGGAACTCCTTGAAAACCCCATCGTTAACAGTGCCACACACCTAACTAGCCCAGATATGGTGGCCCCACCCACTGCCGTGATACAAAGGCATTATGTTTCCTTACCCCATAAAACAGGAGAGTAGAAAATACAACAGAAAGAATGGTTCGAGCCACTGTGCATACATAACGGCCTGGAGAGAAAAAAAGCATAAGATTACAATGAGGTACAGGTAATGATTACCGTATTTATTCGAATAAGCGCCCAACCTCGAATTAGCGCCCACCTCGAATAAGCGCCAATCTTAAAGGCAGAAAAAGTTAATAAGCGCCCAGCCTCGAATAGGCGCCCACCCCCTCCTCCTCCCAATCAAAGTCAAATAAGCGCTCACCCCCACCCCACCTACTTGAGTGAATAAATTCTAATAAAAGACTTCCCCAAGGACGGAGTTTTCTTCAGAGTATTTTACAGAAACCTTGCTTTGTTACTTCTTCTCCTTCTGTTATTAGCATTTATTGTTTTGTTGCAAAATAAACATACTTCTCTTGCTGAAAATGGTGAAAATTTAATAAGCGCCAAGCCCCGAATAAGCGCCGACCTCGAATAAGTGCCCACTCTCAAGGTCCAAAAATTTATAAGCGCCCAGGGCGGTTAATCGAATAAATACGGTAGTCACTTGTTTTACTCAAAGAAAGAGAACGGGATGAGTTTTGCGAGAGGAAAATAGACTTTTTTGTTCAGAATTAAGGAGCTTTAGCAACGAAGGATGCGACGGACAAGAGCGTTGAAAAATGGCCGTCCTGATGCAGCGTTTTGAGTGGAGGGGCAAAGCAGAAGAGCGCACGAAATGTCGTGTCAGTAGGGAGCTTATGCAACAACGACTATGACGGTAACGAAAGCGTTCAAAAAGTAACAGGTTTAATAAGCAAAACAACAATTATGCACGCGCATATCACTAGTCTATTTCATTGCTGTCGCAGCATGACTAAGACGTGAAATGTTCTGACGCGACGTTTTAGGCAGCCTGAGAAAACAGTCGACATTTTGCGACGTCACCACTGGTTTCCCCGCGAAAATGACGTCTGAGCAACAAGCGTAGAAATTCCATTCTGATGACGCGTCACTACCCACATCTGGGCATTGCTTCTGATTGGTTGAAAAAACTTCTCTCGCAGCACGACCAATCAGAGGCGCTATGTCTACCCAAGCGAGTGCGCGAAATATCGTCTCACCTTATCAAGTTCTCCAGTGGCATAAGCAATAACGACAGCAGGAACGAACATAAATATGGCATTATAAAACAACAAACCATATTTGCCCAGATCCTAATAAAGAAAAAATATTTGTTAGGAGAGCTTTTAACCTCTTTACCTCATCGAAAGGAAATAACAGTTAATTATCACAAAATGCAGACAAGCTCTCTTTCAAACTGTCTCTAACAACACCGATTTAGTATAGGATTACCTCCTGGAATACGAGTAGTATCATCTTTTTTTTTTCTCAGAGATACTACAACGAATCAAATAACGAGACGCGAACGATCGCCTCTCTCAAGTAAAGGAATGGGTTAAGGATTTCACTCGCGAAACCACCTGTAGAAATAATTAAAGAAGACTACAGTCTCACTCCAAAATTGCTGGGACAATTAATTATCTTTTCGCCCTTGTAATGCTGGTGTACAAGATTTGGTGAGTTAACTGAGATATACAACATTGGGAGGGCGAAGAGATGAACAAGAAGGTAGAATACAGCATTCAGTGAAAGTGTCCCCACTATTCTTTCCTCAGACTTAAGTATTAATCAAGGCTACATTTGAACATCCTGTGCATGTATTTGTCATTCAAGACCTATGAACCAAAATGTTAACAATAATTTTATTTAAGTCGAATTTTATAACTCACCTTTGACTCTAACTTTTTCTTTACATAAACACCTAAACAAAAAGACCAGCATTAAAATAAAGATATAAAACCCCTTTAAAGGCGACCTGGCTTGGTATACTAACACTACGGCAGGGCTGTTACAAAGGAATGGGGGGGTCCTGTGAGATCATTACCCTCGAATACTTTCATACTAGAAAAAGAGAGAAAAGTAGAACCAAAGGGACTTCCTAGCTATTTAACCCTTTGAACCCTAAGATCAGAATTTGAATTCTCATTTGTTGCCCTTATTCATTTCCTACAGAAATAGTGGGGAGAAGTTGATAAAATATCAAGCAAATGCATCTTGTGTGATCATGTCCATAATTCTCATGACCACTCTGTTTAACAAAGTATTGATATTACAAAGAGGAATTTGATGCTGATCACTATCAGGGGCGGATCTAGGGGGAGGGTGCAGGGGGTGCGCACCCCCCCACTCGAGATGACCTGCGGTTTTCTAATACAACTGGTATTCTGCAAAAAATGAAAAACTATGTGGTTTATTGGTGTTGAAGTAGCGCAAGAGACGAGTGCACCCCCTCCTAAAAAAAATCCTGGATCCGCCCCTGACTATAATCACTATAAAATAACATTAACCCGGTAACTGGAAATCTAGTGACAGCCCTTCTTATAACTAAAATAATAGGGCATGAAGTTTCAATAGTGCTTGACATAAATTGAATAAATCAACTACATTTTTTTATAAGAAATAAAAAAGGTGAATTAACCCTTTAAGTCCCAATAGTGTCCAACAGCAATTTTCTCCTAACGATATCCATACATTATCATGAGATGAGGTTATGAGAATTAATAAAATGATCACCCAAGAGAAAATACTTTGATCTTTTATCAAATTCTCTTAACTAATTCTTAAAGGAAATGTATAGAGATCAGTTTGGAGAATTTGTTTGTGGATATTGGGGCTTAAAGGGTTAATAAAATACTTCCTACCATTTGCTGCTGTAAGGACATCGTTAATCAGAATGAATGTGTAACCTGTTGCATCAAATGCAAGGTCATCACTAAAACCACAAAAAAAAGGTCAGAATTTGCCAAGGATCACAAGCAGTGATTGCACTCAGGGCCATAAATACAGCTTACAAAGCTTGTGCCCGCAATTAGCGAAGGCTATTCGAGGCGGGTAAAAGAGAAAAAGGAAAATTGTATAAATATATATTATATATATATATATGTTAAACGAACAATCCTAGAAGCAATCTAGTTTGTCATGTGGTTTATAGCCAGAGTGAGACAGGAAGGCAGACTGTACTTCATACAGAAGCACACCATGTCACGATTTTGAGAATTGCCTTGTAATATCAGAAACTCTAATATAGTCGTCCTCTTTTTCCATTATTTCAAAGAGTTTTCTCTTTAGTTCGCTTTTGAATTGATTTTTTTAAAGTGTTTTCATAGAAAGTGGAATACTGTTCCAAATTAAAGCACCGGAAATAGAGAAGGCTCGCTTCATATTTACTCCTGGATGCCTAGGATGACTAGGATGACTGGGATGTGTAGAATGAGTACGATGACAGGGATGACTGAGGTGACTAGAATGACTGGGATGACTGGGATGATCAGGATAACATAGGATGATTGGGATGACTGGGATGGCTAGGATGACTGGAATAAGTATAATCCTTTCTTTCCCTCCTAAAATGATTGTTAGGTTTGTTTCCCAAAACAAAAGAAAATTTCATTCTTAGGAAAGTGGGGGTGCTATAGTCCCTAAAGCCCTCTGGCTCTGTCTTTCAGGCTGTGTTATTTACCTTGCTGCCACAAGAGCACCCAGTATCATAAGAAACACTGTGGCCTGTACCCGTGGTTCAGCCTTTGATCTAAAAACAAAGGGAGACAAAATGTCAGGCTGCATTTCAATGCAAATTACACTGAATACATAAAATGAAGATACTTTTCAATTGATGAGCCACAAAATACTTAAGTTTGAGAAACATTTAACTAACTTACCCTAAAATATATGTCTCTCCTAACATCGTGAAAAGAATTGAAAAACGCCGTAGAACAGTGAACATTGGAAGGCTGAAGTAAAGAAAGTTTGAGTAACAAGCTATTTATCACAACAATATTAAAAACAGCAGCTACAGCAGCACCAGCAGTAGCTGGGCGCTAGGGCTCAAACAAAAATGTGCCCCGTTGTCTGGCACAAGTAGATTTTCTTGCTGGGCAGCTACCCTTTAAGATGGAATCCGAAAGGAAATTGAGTAATTTTTATTTTCAGAGGACAAAAACCTTGTACCAGAATAATCTAAACAAAAATAATTGAATTAAATAATCTAAATAATCACATTCTTTTTTACATTTTTCAAGGGCTATAGATATAATAATCTGTAATAACACCAAAGACTATTTCTTGTGGGGGCCTGAGAAAATAAATGTCAATTTTCACAAGAATTGTGAAAACACAGGGAAAATTCTAAAAATTTCATGTGTAAGATGTTATTGTTATAACTGCTATTGTGCCCAATAGGATTTACCTCCTGTGTATATCTATGGTGGCCAATGAGTACTTAATCTCATGGGAACTCAAAAGTTGTCATAAAATACAAAATTCAGCACACACCACTGTCTGTATTAAAGGATCATCTTTGATTTTATTTTTTTGAAGTTCAAACTATAATAATTGCTAACTTGTTAGTTTACTATTACCTCAAATTTTCACTAAAAACTTACTTAAGCCTTTTTGTGCTTCCTAATCCAAATACAAGATTTCCAACATACAACAATGGAAGGGGCCACACCTGAAATAATATTTGCACATATAAAAAATAGCTGAATGTAATTATTCTTCTTCAGTACTAGCTACCTTTGAAACAAAGTAATATCAAGTTCAAACAGGCTAAAGATAGAATGCATTTCCAGTAAATATTTTTTCTTATCAGTAATGTTGCAATAATACAATCTACAGTCAAAATTAGCCCAATGTCAGGGTATATTAGTTTAGTAAAGAGCTCAAACTGCTGGTTATAGTCACCCCCTGGGGTGACTCAGTCACAAGAGGTCAACCTGCCCCACATGAAGGATTTTTTAATTTAATTTCCCACCAAAATCAAAGTCAGAGGGCAATGCTTTGTTGATTGCTTGACTGATCACTCAAAGGTGACAAGAGTAGGGTGAAAATTTTTTTTGACAATGTATTTGCAATGTTGATGGCATTTGGCTGTAGAGAGAATTTATTTCATGAACCCCTTTGGGTTTTCAAAATTGGTGCACCGCAAGTGAGAAAAATCTTCTGGAGGTGACAAAACAACCTCATGCGGCTACAAGAGACCTTCAGAAAGTGCAATTATAAGTCTGCAAAGATTGCTACTTATATGGGTCTCCAGGATACAGGTTGAGAAACAATCACAGCTATATACTCTAGCCTGGGGTGAGTTGTTCAAAAGACAGTGCAAATCAAGGTTTGGTTACCATAACAACTTATACACTCTGCTTGCAGTTAACCCAAGATTATTGGTAACTGGGTGTTGAACAACTCCACCCACGGTGTTATGGAACCTCTCCTCTCATGTGCCCCGCTACACAGTTTGTACACTTCTTCCATATAAAATAAAAAGACATTTGAAGGCCTTACAAGGACCACAGTTTTAAATTTCAATTTAACCTACCTTGTTACTTTTAACACATACTCCAAATTTTTGTTATTATTATTATTATTATTATTATTCTGTTGGCTTCAAGCTGGTATTTGCCAAAGTTTTTTGGAGGTTTGAAGATGTTCCTCAATTAAAATTCAAGGACTTTCAAAGACCAAAATGAATACAGGAGAATTTCAAGGACTCTAAAATTCAAGGGTTTTCAAGATGTGTACAAACCCTGCTGCTACCACAAGGAGAAGTTAGATGTTGGTCACTCTTACAGGTCAAAGGGTTAATCCTTTAAGCCTCAATATCCACAAGCAAATTCTCCAAACTCATCTCTATACATTTCTTTAAAGAATAAGTTGAGAGAGTTTGATAAAAGATCAAAGCATTTTCTCTTTGGTGATCATTTTATTAATTCTCATAACCTAATCTCTTGACATTGTATGGATATTGTTTGGAGAAAATTGATGTTGGTCACTATTGGGACTTAAAGAGTTAACCACAAGGACTGATTTAGGGTGTGTTTCTTTATGATCATCCGCACCAGGATCAGTGATCCAAGATCACTTGGATGAGGGTGGTACATTTAATGAACCAATGAGTTCACCCTTCCCCAGGGTGCATTCGTCATTTCCATTGACGTGCTATGATATGAGTGATATTGAATCACTGATCCTGATCCAGGCTATCCTAATGGAATGCACTGTTATAAATAGTATTATCAGTGAGTTTATGCAACAGGATGGCAGGAAGAAGAGGACGGCAAATTGCTTGTGCGTGACAAACATGACAAGGCTATTACTTACGTGTCTTGTCATGATCTTCACTAACATGAATGTTTTCTGGTCTTTTACAAAAAGATCAATTTAAAGGAAAGTGAAGTTTGGCCGAAGGTTTTTTCAAACAAACTTATTGTCACGCTTGTCACACAAGGTTTTCCATCATTTTTCCTCCTCCCGCCCTGTTGAGTAAGTTCAGAATTGACACGTACCTTGTACAAAATTGACAATGAATAACCTGGAAAATTGACAATGCCACCTAGTTTAAGGATGTACAGGACAATGACTGTGGCAAGCATCTGTCGGTGAAGAAAAGAGATAAATGCCTTGAACTTGACAGTGAGCATCACTGAGAATTTTTTATTCGGATTCAAATTTTGATGATTTGATCAGCTTTAAAAAAGGTGGCAAGATCTATACCTATCAGAAGCAAATGTTCATCAGACCCCACATTACATTACAATAGCTGACCCTTCAATGGTTTTTCAAGTTTTGATGGTGATCATTAGCCGAAATTGAATCGACAATGCTGAAAAGACTGCCTGGACATTAACAAACAAGTTTGCTAGGTTTGAAAAAGATACGTCTAAAAGGAGTGAAGTTACTGTTCTGCAAAGCGACAAATTTGTATGCTGGAGGGCTATTTAGCTTCCACCACCTTACAAATCTCTATAAGATTTTACAACTTTGCATAGTGGTGTCTTCATATTTCTTACTCACCAGATCACTATCAAACTTGTTAATTTTATCATTTTAAAGCTCTCTTTTCAGCAGTGTTTGCAGATTTTTACTACCTGGGTCATGTCAAAAGTTGAAAAAACTGCCAAGAAGGCATCTATTTCAGACAATACCCTCCCAGGTAAAAAAGCTTTAAATCACCAGTTATGGAGCTACCAGATATACATCCATGAAGGGCTTTGGAGGAAACTGAAATTGCCGTCTTTAATTTGGAGGAGTTGCAGAGAGAACCTTTCTGTCTACATGGTATAACAAGGTTGCCCCCAACATTTGCCCATGCTTGTATCTAATTTTCAGTATTCTCACCAGATTTCCACAAAGACCATTGTGGTTAAATGTTATTATTTAAACTATGTTAAATGCAAAACAATACAAACACTGCTGGTCAGCGGCTCTCTACCCCCCACCCCCTGATAGCAGGCATGCAGATGGGTCAAGTGGTCTGCGGGGGGTGGGGGGGGGGGTGTTCTTACAGCTCGGTTGTAGAGGTCAACTCATTCTCTCATGGGGGTTCTTTAACTGTTCTGATTGTGCCCTGTAACCTCACTCCCTGCCCTCTCTCCCTCTCTTTGGTACGTATGAGGTAAGTAACACTGTTTCACTGTTTTTTCAGTATGATGGTGCCTGGTGGTTGCTACCCACGGGGTTGTCACAGTTACCCTACATGCTCGGCTCTTGTACTTGTGGCCCCACCCTCTTTCCAGGGATCTTACCAACACTAATCTATTGTTGATGAGTTTTATGATTTATGCAGCAATCTCACACAATTTCACACAAACTATAGGGTGACTTTGTTTTAGTAACTGCATGCCCAAAGGTAAATGTTTCTCCTAGAAGTCAATCAATTACTCTAAATTCGAGATTGCTCCGAATCTCTCGATTTAAGAAAAAGTTGTTTTTATTTCACGAAAAAAATTTAAAACAAATTATAGGATAACAACTCCTTTTTCTGTAATTTAAACAGGCTGTTTGAATTTACAAGAACAAAATCTTATTCTATGACTTGTTTTAAATTGTTTTCTTAAGATAAGAAATTTCGAATTTAGAGTGAATGTCGGTTAATTTAGGATACATATAAATTGGAGACATTAAATTAATTTTCAGGACCCGGAATGAATGAGAAGTAATAAATTTAGGTAAACGTATAACCAGCGCATACACAATTCAACTTGTGAAATCTTTACTTACCTGACCGAGTCCCAAACATTGAAAAGAAGGAAATCTATAGAAAATAAAGATATCAACACAGATTATCAGTACGGGTGTCAAGGGTCGCATTAAGCCTCAACTGTTGTAATCTACTTACTTGTAGGTTGTCAAAACAGTCTTGTTGATAACCACAATAAAAAATGAACAAATGCCATACAAACACGCCGTTATTAATCTATAAAACAGACCAGGAGCCCGCTTTCCTTCCGACATAATAACAATCTACCTAAAAGAAAATTAAATGCGCGATATATTAATCAAGTTGCGGATGAGCACTTTTAATTACATCCGCGACTGCGATGAATATTGATAAGCTTTTCCAAGTTTTTTGATCCGCCATTTTTTTTAGCGAGAATCCGCTGACTGTAAACCTGTTCTCCTCGCTAAGTCACGTGACTATTATATATTGCGAATAGAAAGAAACATTGCGAGACAAAATGGCGAGAAGTTTGTGTCTTTTATCCGCGTTAGTTTCGCTTCTGATCTCGGAGCAAGTTTTCGCCGATGAGGGTTTAGGTGTCTTAGATAAGTGTAAGAAGAGTTGTGAGCGAAGCTACCCGTTGCACACTTATCCAAAGGTGAGTTTGAAGAATCATTCCCAAGTTGTTTTGTTGTGCAATTTTTTTGTCTTGTAAATATCGAACCATGCAGTGTACACATGGAATCCAACGAACATCCCCAACTTCATGCGTTTGTTCTTGCTTTTTCTGTCCGCAACTGGAGTGATTTCTATCGTATTGATGCTTATATTTCATAGGAGGAGCCTTTGCTTGCTTGTAAACAAGGGTGTAGACTATCTGTGATCGAACAGCTGAACGGAGGCCCCACAAAGAATTATACTCAAGCGTGTAAAGCAGGTATAAAATACGTTCTTTTTACCGATTAAACGTACTTTTCTTGGTTTTCTCGAGTAGTTCTTTTACCTCCCCTGAAACTGAAGTTTACTGAGAACATCTTTTAATATCTAAACTTGTGCAACTTGCGATAAATATTCGATAATTACGTGTATAAAGCTTATAAGTAGAATTTTACATTACCTTTGTGAAGAATTGTATGGTATTAATTCAACGTCTAACCAGACCCAATCAAGCTAAGATTACTGAAAGGTACGTTCTGGAGAGAGACGATCTCGCCTCAAAGCATAGGCAATAGTATAGATTAGATCCCAAATTCATCAGTGTCCGTTTTAGAAATATTCTTTGATAATTTTCGTTGCTTGGAAACATGATATTCCCTCAACGGCATTCATTCCCTTTTCGTCTTCAAAATGTAACCCCCCCCCCAACTATACAAGACAAGGTGTTCATTAGGCATCGGAGATCAGAGAATTATCTGTTTACTATGCATAATTCTCCGACTGTACCTTATGATCTTTTTTTATTCAGACATGAAGCCTCTTTCAAAATATTCTCCTGTAACGTTACAACTTTCTCCTACTAGTAGAATTCTTAATGAAAACCCTGCAAAATGGGGCAGGGAACTGGAAGGTTTGCAACTTTCTCCTTCTTTTAAAGGTTCATGTCCTTACTTCTCATAAAACTGTTTTCACCTAAGAATACCCCACTTTTGGTGAATGAATGCATTCTAGAGGCTCACGATTAATTCTGACAAGCAACATGGCCTTGAAACAGTAACTAAAGACAGCTGAAGTGGTGAAAAATGGTGCAAAAACAGGACTGAAGCTGCACAAGCAACAAATACCATCACATCCAAATACAGAGGTAGAATAGTCGCTCACATGACAGAGACATGGTTTTTACATCAATACGTGAAACACAGGGTTTTGAAATTCAGACCAGCGACATGTGACTCTCCCCTGCCCCACCCTATACTAAAAGGACTTCACTATTCCTTACCTCATTGTTTTTTAGACAAAATTGGCGTTTATATATTCGTTTTTCTTCAGGCTGTGCAGAAAGTTATAGGGACAAAGAAAACAGCTATGCTTGTGTTGTTGGCTGCAACTCGCAAGATGCTATTCCATCACCAGACTCATACTCAGAGGTATTACATAAGACATCAATTTCAAAAGTAATTAAGTAATAATATCATTAGAAATTGCGCAGTACAGAGGAACCCAGCCTTACGACCACGTCATTATAGCCTTAAAATCATTCTGTCGTCAGTAAACTTAGGCAACAGGATGGGAGAGGAAGATGACAGCCAACCTTATGTGACAAGTGTGACAATTAGTTTGTTTGAAAAAACCTTCCGCCAAACTTCACATTCCTTTGAAGAGATCTTTTTGTAGAAGGCAAAAAACATCAATGTTAAATGAATTCCGACAAAACATGCAAGTAATAGCCTGGTCATGTTTGTCACACTCAAGCGTTTTGCCATCCTCCTTTTTCTGCCGTCCTATTGTGTTAACTCACTATGTTCTTTTCCGAAAACCTTGTTCAATTCAACACCGCTTTGAGCCCAACTTTTTTCCAACTCGGCTTTCAACCAAAAATATTATCATAAAGTGGGTTGGGTAAGCTCTTGCTGTGAGAGCTTTTTCTCTAAGTACTATGATTTTCCCCTCTCTTTAAAACCAACACTTCCAAGTTCCAATTCAATCTGGAATGGACAGACGTGTTTAAACTACTTTTTTAAGAACTCTTAATTGCTACATGGGTAAACAAGTTACAATAATAATAATTTATTATTATTTAGAGTATTTTTTTTATTTTCTTGGTATTTCTTGAAACTTTCTATTTTCTATGTTTTTCTTGAAACTTCTAGGAATATTTTCCTGATCAGTGGAGTTTCCGTACATACATGGTGTATGTCTACCCAGTTCTTGACTTTAGCAAGTACTGTCATGGCTTCATGAACAGAGTAGGCTACTACTACAGGATGTCAGCCTCATACTATTATAACTATGGTGACAGCAATAGCCTTATAGTTGAAATTAATGAGCAGCCTCGTGAGTTCATCAGTGTTCCTAAATTTGATGAGGTAGACTTTGTTGAGAATGATGGTGCTCAGGATAGCAGCTATAGTGGTTAGTAACCAGTATTCAAGTTACAGTTAGCAATTGTAATTTGCTGTAATGTAATTTTTGAACCTGAAAAATATGAATCATTGATAATGTCAATAGGAGTGAGTGTAGTCCAATTCGGTCTGCAATACTAGAGAGCTTTAGATTCTAAGACGAGTACGACTACGAGTACGAGATTTTCTCATTACTAAGTAGTGCTCATGCGTGAACCAGCGTGATTTTGGCACGAAAACGTGGTAGCTGTCGTCATTCTGCTATGAGTTTTAGCGAGAATGTTGAAGTAGCGGAAACAAGTTATCAAATGTTAGAAGTTTTATCATACTGCGATCGGTAGAGGGTGCAACCTCCTTATGGAAAGGTAACAGCACTAACTTTTCTAGTGAAAAATGGTAAAATGAAGCTTTCTGAGGAGTCTATATTTTGAGAATATGCGAAAAAACTTGAAGTCAAATCTTGTACTCGCAGTCGTTCTTGTCCTTGAATCCAGAGGTCTAATATGAGTGATCAACAAAATCAGACAACCGTGTGGCAGAAGTCCGAAGATGGATTGAAACACACCAATGGCAGTCTTCATAGCCAACAACATCATGTTTTAATAACTGAGAGATGACCAATAGCATGGTGACTTAACTGACCAATCAGGTCAATAACCAGAGTTTAATTCCATCAACTGATGTGATACAACTCACTTTGACTCTGAAGATGACAGCTGCACAAGTTGTCAAAATGTCAGTCACTGTCAGAAACAATCCTGTTTGGGACTGCAATCACTCACAATTATGCTTCTCCTACTTTTAAGGTCACTACTATTGCAATGCAGAGCAATAATTGGTTATATTGAATTGATCAACAGTATTTTAACTATTGCAATAATAAATAAAAACATTGATATTCAATATTTTATACTACTACATGAGAAATTTCTGCAATCTGATCGGCTTAGAGCATATGTGAAAATTACAAACCTTTTGCAGGTAGTAGTATAAACAAATAATAGCATGATTTGTACGTGATATTTGGCATAAATACCACTAGTGATATTTCAAAATTGTCTCAATTTTCACTCGCCTAACAGCTCGTGAAATTACATATAACAATTTCGAAATATCACTCGTGGTATTTATGCCAAATATCACTACACATCATTTTATTACCTTTACTAATTCAACCTGCTCTGTAGATGGCGATGATTCCTATTCAAGTGATGTCGTCCACAAGGGTCACCAGTGGTTAAGATGTGTGTCTCAGCGGTCTGGACTTCCTTTCTGGTTGTTGACCTCAACCCTCTTTCTGTCCATATTTTTCCTGATATGGCTCTGTTGTGCCACCGCTACCACAGCCCCAAGAGAAGTTGGCAAGGTATATTCTTGTGGGGCAGTTTGTCTTTATTCCTAGGTTTTTATTTTTTAGAGGTTAAAATTTGTGGTTAATGAAAGAAGACAAAATCTCTGGATTGTTGTTTGCGTCAAATGTAATATAACATCTTCAAATTTGACTGCAATGGTTGAAAAAATAAATTTTGATTTTTTTAAACCTATTATACCATATAGCATAAAGTGTCCCTCTTTTGTAGCGAGAGAGTTGGAATAAAGTCAGCTCGTCTTCCGCTTCACCAGCATTGGTGTTGTCAGATAATAAGGTCCCTATTATTACTGACAGTGGAACCTCAATGTAATAAACCTCTATGATATAACTAAGTCTTCCGTATGACAAACAATATTCTTCACCCAAGAAATACAGGGTTGCCACGGTCACGGAAAAGTCAGGGAAAAACGAAAATTTTTCAAGGTCAGGGAAAAGTCAGGGAAAATCTTTGATATTGTCAAAGTCAGTGAAAAGTCAGAGAATTCTGTTTTCCGGTTTATAGTTCATAAGTTTTCCTCAAGATTTTGAAATGAATTTCCTTTCGGAGAAGATGAAAACTGTGCTGCAAAGCAAACAAAGTGATCAATTTGACACTCTACGCCTGACACATGTAGTAGTTGAGGTCAGTGGTTTTCTTTCTGAATGCTTTCTTCCAAATTCCTTCTTCCTCTTTCTGCGTATAGCGGTGAGAGGTTGAAAATGAAGAGAAAAATATTGATGGCCTGCAAAAAAAGCTAAAGCGAATGTAAACATGGATTGTTTCTCATTAATGAAAGGTCAGTGAAAACTGTTCGAAGGTCAGTGAAAATCAGGGAATTTTTAACTTTCTGATGAGTGGCAACCCTGAAATAGTAAAATATAAAAGAACCTCATTATGACAAAACCTCTTTATGGCAAGCAAATTTTGCCTGTCCTTTGGGCCTTCATTATAAAATTGTTCCACTGTACTCAGTTGGAGTGGCGCACTAACTCTATCTTCTCGGCTTTTCTTTTTAAAGCCTTCCATTGTTCGTGAACTCATGTTACTGGATGATGACAGTTTACTGGAGAAGTTGCCTCTGGTTAAAGCTGATGAGAACGAAGAAGCAGCCCCTCTGCCTGTTAAAGTGCACATCGATGCAACTACTCTTTGATGAGAGAAACTAACAGTTTTCTTTATCAAACTTTACTTTAAGGGACAAGAATTCTTAACTTGTTTAACTTTTCAATTTAAATGTGGGAGTTTCTGCATACGTGTTTTTCTTTTATCAGTCTGTATCTAATGTGTTTTGCTAATTGCATGGTTGTCACTAAGATTTCAAGTTGCCGGGTAAATACAACAAGTAGGCGGGGAATCAAACAACTAGGGGTTTCTGTTGGGTCTATTTTTCTTTCCTTTGAAAGTAGCCAGGGGCCATGTTGGTAGTAGCTGGGGGAAATCCCCGGCCCCCACCTCTTAATGACACCCCTGTAATTGGATATTAAATTCCTTTATAGTTTGATTTTTTTTGCGGGTTTCAGTTGCCATTCATTTGTTTATGAACAAGAGAAATGACAGTGTTTTACCAAATCCATATTCAGTAATTGAAATTGAATTCTGAATTTCTAAATTTGTTTTTGGGGATTTAAAAATCTAGTCTTTTGTTGACACCGTAATATGCATGTAGCCTTGACTATGGTCGACAAACAGACCTCAGCAAAGATGGTTGTAACGTGTGAGTTTGCGGTTGAAACCTTTTTTCCTTGCTAGCAGCAGTCACCCATGGCAAATGGTTAGAAGGAGAGGAAAGAGAGAGACCTCTGCCAGCCTCTGACGCATTCTTTCATGTACATGAGACGAGACATTGTGAAAGTGATATGTTAACGTAATGGTACACTTTTGCTACTTTAAGACTAAATTTAGACATTGAAACTGATAGCAAGGTTGTACATGGATTGAAACTTGAAAATGTTGGGCCAACTGTTTCAGGTTCAAATGTCATACCTGTAAAATTCGCCCAAACAATTAGTATGGTTTATAGTTCTAGTGGTGAATTTTTTTTGGACATCTTCTTCGTAACTAAAGGAGTATTTTATGTTTGTTTAAAAGCACTAAGTAATGACTTCAGCTCTGAATTGATGTAAAACAGCAATATCCTTGTGACTTAGCTTCTTCGACCAAAGTGCATGGCAAGTTTTAGCCTCCAAGCAAGCTCTCCATTTGGGGGAAGTCACGAGAAGACACACGAGAGCCACGCGCGAAAGGAGACGCGAGTGCGAAACGCGTTCTCTCGCGGCTGGCTTCGCTCGCGATAATTGAAGAGCTTGCTCGCAGGTTATGTATTTTTGGGGTAGGGGGTGGCCTTGTAAATAGGAATTATTTGTTGCTTTTTAATTGGCTTCATAATCCAGGACGGTAACACTTCGCTAAACTGAATGAAAATAACTCAGGCCATTAACATGTATTTAGATGTCTAGTGTTGCTATTGTAATTAGAAGTGGTGGTTTTGTATTTATGAATTCTTGAATAAACTCTCTAATTAAAAGGACAAGTGGCAGTTGTCTTTATGTCAGCTTTGGAAGAGAGAGAAGTCATTACGTCACGTTACCATGGTAATCCAGGAATTTTGCTGCAATGGTAACATGACGTCACACTTTTCTCTATTAGATTGAAGCAAGGTAGACTTGAGTAGTCTCAAGTGAAAAGCGTGGATTGCCTCTCAATGAGCACGGGGAGTAGCCTGAGAAAACAGCCGACACTTCGCGACGCCATCCTGGTTGTCCAAGCGAAATGATGTCCGAGAAAAGCGCAGAAATTCCAAACCAATGCCGTGTTACTACCCAGATCTGGAAAGTGCCTCTGATTGGTCAGGCTGCGTGGAAAATTTGCCTCAACCAAGAACTACCAATTCGAGTAGTGACGCGTCATCAGTATGGAATTTGTGCGCTCGTTTCTCAGACGTCATTTTGCGGAGAAACCAGTGGTGGCGTCCCGCAATGTAGGCTGTTTTCTTAGGCTAGGATGGCGGGGAGCCGATTTCTTATGTCACCTGTGTTTTGCTTGCTCTAGTCTTTGAAAAATAGAGTAGAATCTTGCCAATCTCGTTCCCACGCCGATTTTTTTCTCCATTTCCCCCCAATGCGAAGCCTGGTCCCAAGCTGATCATTTTCTTGAAATTTCCATGGGTTATAGCTTGGGAGAGTGCGCTTTTCTAGTGTCTCCAGTAGTGAAAAAAGGCATACATTTTCTTATTACCTTGACTGTTGTAGGCTTTCTGTAGAAAAAGTTAATTTAGTAAGTGAAATATCCGTCATATATATTAATAAAAAGCATGGATAAAACCTGATTCTAAACTTTTGTTGCGCGCGCTAGATTCAGATTAGAATTCCAGAGCGCGATCACCTGTTCGAAAAATGACGTTTTTCTCTTATACCTTTATGACATAACTCCGTGTCCACAGCACCCGCTTGTAAAGAAAACGTCTTCAGTCGAGTAGTACGCGTTTTATAGACGAGGTTACGGACTTAATTTTGATCGAGATATTTTTCATTGCTGACTAAATCTAAGTAAAATGGCAAGAGTTAGACAGATTCCCCGACGAATTCGCCAGAGAATAGCTGAAAGGTAAGTCAGAATATTGTGAAGCTGTTCAGTATTTGGCAGCCTTTGGTTTTTGCGTAGCCGAGCCTCGTTAATCCGAACTAGAGCATCGTAGTACTGTATTCATGTATACAAAATGAACAATAGCTGGAAAGAGTTTGAAGCTGTTCAGTCACAATCCAACTCGTACTAATTACTGGCACATTTTGATTTTTCGTAATTAAGGAGAAATCGCATTGATTTGAATGCGTTGGATGACATGCTTCTACCCTTACCACCTGAGGAAGAAGGTGAAGGAATCTGGAGATTACAAAGAAAGTTCAAAAAAGACAACTACACCAATGCAATCATACCTTACATGACTTGGCAGGTATGAAAACTTCTTCCTTCAATTTTTGTCTTAACTTAAGTTAGCAGGCAAGCTGGCCCGGGGCATTATACGGCGTCCTCAATTTTCTGTGAAATTTTGTCTTGTTTTTAAAGAATTCTCAGTAAAGTAAGTCGTAGCTATATAGCTAGCAAATGTTCCCCCTTTTTGCATCATGTGCTGTAGTCTTCTTATAGCAGCTTGCATATTCTTTCTTTCTCGCGTCAAATTAACCACTGAGTGATCTGTCGCATTCTCCAATAGAATGTTCAAGAAAACCAGGCGACTATCCCAGAATACTACGCAGACCCTGTACTGCGAGAGAAAATGAGGGCCAAGGAGAAGTTAAGGGAAGGTACGTTGTCTCTATAACAAATTAGGCGGGTGATTTGCAACAGTGCGGTAACGAATATGTTTTCACGATAAAAGCAGAGGCAGATTGTGAATTTGTGTCCCCAAGGAGGGGTGGGTTGTTGTTTGTTCTGGGTTGATATTGAATTAAAAGAGTATGAAGGGACAGAGCGGGAAACTTAGAGAGTCTATCCTTTGAGATATGTGAATTTTACCAAAGTTATTTTTAGACCGATTAAACGCTTGAAATTGATGGGAAGTTTGTTTCCGAAAGGTCCGCAAACTTTTATTGTTTGCTTGCCAAAAATGGTGTGCTCGTTGTTAATAAAATATCCCATGGTAAGTAAAATGCTCCTTATATCCCCCTTCAGAACTTATCGAGGACCCAATGGCAGAGGAAAGAGCTCGACGAGAAAGGGAGCGAGGGATGTGGAATGCCGAAGAGGAAAAAAAGCTTTGCGCTGCGTAAGTAATGGAAATTTCTGCCTGAACTAAATTAAGTCCATCCATTTCTCTTTTTATAACAACCAAACCCTGCTCTCAGAGATCATTAGTAAAGCCAGCAGCGTTTTTTCCCCGCCCATTCTTAAAAATCCTCGGTCTCTAATAAAATAAGCATGGAAGAGGGTCACGTTATGGAAGGGTGTGCTGTGAAGCATTTAGAAATTAAAAGGTGGGATCTGCTTTCTAATTTGACAGGTTAGCACAGAAGCGGCACAATTTTGGTAAAGCATCCAAGAAGATGCCAGGAAAGGTATGTCAAACCTTTTTTGGCAACTATACTAGTACTACTACCGTGTGGAAAAAAAAACATTGAAGTAGCGAAATATATAGGCAAAATTGTAAACTTATATATTAGCGCTGTCCTTGTTTTAGACTCGCGAAGACTGTGTGGAGCACTGGTATTCATACAAAAAAGACAAAGAGCACATTGCGGTAAGAAAATTTATATTTTTCTAAACGTTCGCCGGATTTAACTCACGCGACGATAAGAATGTGAACGAATCAAATCCCTTCGAGGCTACATTCGGTTGCTCAAAATAAACCTTCTACTACCAGCTACGCTGCTCGCCACTGAAGGAAACTGAACCGAGTTAACTTTCGCAAAGACTTCTGGGATTTTTACTACTGACTGGTGCGTCCCCAGTAACGATCCCAGAAACCATTGCGCGACGCATTTCGGCTCCAGTTCCCTCCACCTGAGGCCGACCTCGCTTGGAGCCTGGGACAGACTAGATACACGTGGGTCGTTCATCCTCAACGATGAACCACGACACTGGACAACCAACGTACAGACCCCTGCCGGTTCAGTATTATATCTATGAAATTTGACAGCATTAAAACTGAACAAAATCTTATACTTATTCCATTGTCTAGATTTGAAGTCACTGTCCACAAGAAGGTTTTTTCATCGCTGCATTGCAATCCACAAGTGTCTTATTGGAGAAACCGATTTCAGCTTTAATTTTACTAAAAGTCAAGCTGTTCATTCATATAATACAAGACGCTCTAATGATATTCGCTTACCCCTACCCAGAACAAACTGGGGTAAACAAACTTTTATTTTTCACGCCGCGAAAGACTGGAACAGCCTTCCAAATGATTTAAAAGAGTGTAATATTTTATCTATTTTTAAATCCAAGTTAAAAACTTTTTTAAAAGATCTCAGCTAATTTTAAACCTTGATGTTTTTTTTTGTATAATCGATTTTAAGATTTTAAATTTTTAATTTTGTTTTACTTGTAAACATATTTTACTTTTTTCGTAATTATTAATTAATTAGTTAGATTAATGCATGAGGGCCCCACTGAAAACCGCCTTTGCGAGTTGGGCTCCCTCTATAAATATTATTATTATTATATTATTGACAGACCTGTGATCCCTGCATTCAGAGGCAAACTGACAAGCGAAAGCGGAAGAGAGCAGCAACTAGTTCTCTGACATCACCAACTCATGCTCAGCAAAAAGAACTAGATATTGAAGATGGCGCCTCACCGCGAAAAAGATCCAGAGTTGGAAGGGCCATCTTGGTTCCTCGACGGTTCAGAGATGAACCTGAGGGACGTCAACACTAAGGGCCCGTAGAGAGGCTCATTTTAGGGGAGGGGAGGGATGAATGACTGAAAAATGGACAGAGCCAATATCTTAAGGTGAGGTGTTGACTTTCTAACTATTTTATATGTTTACAATGAATTTTCCCAAGAAGATTTTCCAAAAAAACCAGCAATGATTAAAACTCAGACTTTGGAAAACAACCCCTTGTACGTAACGGTAGCCTGTTCATAGACCTTCTATTTTCTCTTCAAAGTCCGTCGAGCGCGGGTGATAAAATATAAACCGCAGGGGATTTATTGACCGCCAGCGCCGATGTTTTTGAAAAGAAAGAAAAGAAAAACAAAAACAACGTCTGTGTACAGGCTAATAGGCAACGGCTGCGACATGCACGACGTATGGTCAGCGGAAATCCCAGAACAACTAGCAAGAGGCCTGGTAGCTAGTCACTTTTTCGGCGTCCTTGACACCAGCGAACTGAAGCGGTCACTTCCAAACTTGTGTAGAATTTTTCGTTAGTTTTTCTTTATTTTCGCTGTCATAATGCCACGTAAAGCTCTCACTTGCACTGTAGAGTTAGATGTATACCAGGTGAGAGATCGAACAATGGATTGTTCATTCAACACACGGAATGTTCCGGGTTCATTCACGTGCTCCTTGCAAAATGAAATTTACTTAGTTCATTGTGTCTTTTATTCTCAAGTTCATATTGTCTTTTTTCTTCAGATTACCTGTCCAGGAACACGACACTTGAACGACAGAAATATGCTTTACCTGTCGGTGTGCATTTTAGGGCAGACCAAGCGAACTAAATCAGTGTTCGCAAGTTTTCCTCTTGCACTGAACGAGAGAATGTACTTCGAGAGGGTGAGTGTTCATGTTGAAAGATCTGATGACAAGCTTCGACCCAGATGTTGTTGTCGCTGAGAATAAATAATTAATTAGCGTGGTGAAGAGATTGATTATTCGAGCTACATATCTTGCTTTGAAGATGACTGACAAGGTTTTTTTCTCCTGTTTTGCAGACTTTTGTGAATGCACGAGAACCTACACATGTCATGGGAATATTAGAAGGCAAGATACCTACAGCTTAATTTCTTAGCTCTCTATGTACAAGAAGAAAAATATTTTTCCAAAATATGAACTATATGTTTTTCCTTTTTTGGTAAATTATAGATGAGCATGTGTTGTTTGAACTGGTACAATACTCTGATGTCTATAGAGGTAAGTCAAATATTCTTGGTAAAGCTTGCACAACCCCATTTATTACTTGGGTACGTGCAGTGAACGTGTAGATGTGGATAGTAAACTTGTTTGACTTTGAGGCTCTAATCATACAATACCAGATAGTTTTTCAGAGCTGTCAACCCCCCACACGTCTTCAAATATTGAGAATTAATAGAGAGGGGATGATAGATGACGTCGTATCACACGGCACATGACATCATTTGAGCAAAAAATGCTTGTTGACTCTGATCGATGTATATAAGCCCCATAAAACAGTTCATATTAAGCCACATTGTTGCTTAAATTACAGTGGCATGCCAGAGTTTATGAGGAACGTCCCACGTTAACAGTAAAATTACACTTCAAACAATGCAAAAAATTAAAATTTTAGGGTCAGAAAGAAGAGTCTACAAAAAATGGCAAACTTTGGCCATTACACAGGAGATTTTTGACTCTAACCTGGAGACCAGGAGATACGGTCCAGTATCTGGAGTCTCCCGGATTATCTGGGAGAGTTGACACCACTGGCTTTTCGTACCGACATGAAAACTATCTGCTATAGTATGAACACCTATCCAATATGTGACTCTCCACTTTCAAAATCAGCCCAGCGCAGGTTCGCTCCGTTACAGAAATCATGCCAAAATCACTGTTCTCATGTGTGAACGGATGCCTTATCCAGTATGGTTTTCATGCCAGTGCAAAAGCTATACCCTATAGTGTTAGCCTGAGAAACGAGTGCAGAAATTCCATACTGATGACGCGTCAGTACCCAGATCTGGGTAGTGCTTTTGATTGGTCGTGCTACTCAGGAAATTTGATTCAACCAATCTGAAGCACAACCCAGATCTGGGAAGTGACGTGTCATCAGTATGGAATTTCTGCGCTGGTTTCTGAGATGTCATTTGGCAGGAATCCAGTGGTAGCATCGCCAAATGTTGGCTGTTTTCTCAGGTTACTATAGTGGGTACATAGCCTGAGATGGAAAGTCTACACGTGTCTGTGCTGTGCTGAAATTTTTACAGCACTATAACATCACACCCAGTAACATTGTGTCTGGATCTTATTGGGTTAAACAGCCTGATGTAAAACAGTCAGACTTCAGTTGTTATTGGATATCTTATCATTATCAGTCCTTATTTAGCATATGTGTCACAAACAGTGTGGCCCTGTTAGAGTTAAATTACTACAAACAACATGACCTTGAAATAGTGACATAAAACTTGATGAAATGGCAACAAATGACGTAAAGATGGGTTAAATACTGATAGAGCCATGTCCTTGCCCAAAATGCCAAAACAACCATATTTGAAATTCAGACTAGGACATACATCCCCCTCATAAGAGGGCCTCTAGAGTGGGCTCATCACCAAAGATCTTCCTACAGCTCTACTAGTAGACTTGGTCTACACATGAACAGTTCATGTGCTTGAGAATTTTCCCTTTGTCCTTTTTGAATTAATGAATGTATCTTAGCATGAATACGACCAGTCATGCCATGCCAGGAGAGAATGCTCCCTAGTTTTAGATCACTTCACCACTATACCAGATGGTGATCCATTCCCCAGTTTTCCTGTGAAAACAAAGAAGTCTGTACTTTAATGCACCGAAAATTTTTAATGGGGATTCAGTCAGTGCTTACCATAATTTACAAAAACCAGGTGGGTGGAAATCTTGTGCATAAACATAAAAAAATTAAAATTTGACGTGAAGGGAGAACTGACACTGCAAAGCATATCCAAATCAGCTGAGCAGATTTTCCAATCAGAATTTCCGATGTAAGTGATAAGTGCTTGGTGTATTACTGGCAATTAGACACTTACATTCTACAATATTTTACATGTTGTTCTTTTGATTTTCTTCTGAAAGGAGGAAAAGTGCTGGCTCGTTATGAAATATCAGCTAGAGAATTTCTCTACCCAACACCCACTCTCACTGGTAAAGATGGTGTTGAAAGGGAACTACTGTTAAGCAGAACAGTGCATTTTACTGTAAGTTGAAAGTTATCACAGTTGTGTTATTATTTCAGCAGATTAAAAACAGGAGACATGATGGTTTTCCCACACATATAATTCTTATATAATTATTAGTTAAAAGCTACTATGTGCCAATAAGAAGGCTGGCTAATTTTTAAGATGTTTGGTCCTTAGTAAGGTTTATAAGGTCTAGTAGGGAAAAAGTTATTGTGTTAAAAACACGATTGGCAGCTAGAAGAATTTTATAGTTTATTGGGTGAGGATATTGAGATATTGAAACCTCAGTAGTAACAATGCAATTTCACAACTTTATTAGGAGTTGGTTTTTGAGAATTCGATGACTCACTGAACTGTAGCACTAAACCCTAAAGTTAGTGTAGAGTGCAGTACTGAAAACTTTTTTCCCCTGTGCTAATAATTCTGTGATGTTGTAGGGAATTGATCCAAAGTTGGAATTTTCCTCCAATTCTACAATACATGAAACAACAGTTCCTGGAACTTATGCTGAGCTCACTAGTGTTGGGAATGGTGATGAAAGTGCATCTGACTCTGAGGTGAGAAAAGTAGATTTTAATTACCTTAGTTTACAGTCTAATTAAATATCCCCATGCAAATTCCCCATGCTGATTTCTGTACATTTCCTTGAAGAATGAGTTGAGAGAATTTGATTAAATATCAAAGCATTCTGAGATCTGCTTGCATGTAATCGTATTATTATGCTTGACGGCAGTGAAAAACATTTTTGTGAAGGCAGCTTTGAACTTTAGAGTTTGCGTGTTTGTTAAAAAGGGCAGTAAAGGGATAAATGTACTGGACCATACTCCAGTTATTCAAAAATTGGATAGCAATATCTGTCAGATAAATCACCACGTGCCAGGCAAAAGTGTATAGAGTGATTTATCCAGTGGCTGACTTAAATGACAATAAATTTTTATCAGCCTGATAAAAGAAATAATTTTTCACTTAACAAAAAGTCATGATTTTTAATAGCCAGGCCAATAATTAGAACAAGGAATAATGTCTTTTCATATGTGGATTGTCCATGGTGTTTGTTTCATTTGAGCATAGAAAATCTCCAACGTGCGTCCATAACTCAACAGTGCACGCTGTGCTGTTTGCCTTTTTTTGAGTTAACTAACGGTTTCTAATTTTTGGCAGTCTGAAGGCACTTCTGAGACTGAGGAAGAACTTATACTGAATCCAACCCCAAGACACCTCAGCCATAGTCTGTATGCAAGGGAACATCACTGTGTGTGTGAGTGTCCACGGCGCCCAGAAAACAATGGGAGAGTGACTTTAAGGTCGAGGTCTCTGTCCCCTTCACGTCGACCAAAGTCAGCCATGCCTTCAGTTCGACCCCCATTCAAAGCTGGCAAGGCAGATGAGAGGATCATTTCTCGACGAGACTTTTTGAAGCCTGGAAGATCGAGGCAAAGAAGTAGAACTGCTTATGTTGAGGGAAATCCTGGTAAGGAATTGTTATAATCTCAGAAAACTTGCTAAATTCTTTGACGAGTAACTATAACTCAATAAACCTTGATCTGATTGTCAAATCATTGTTTCAGAACTATATTATCTGGCAGGCTAAGCTACCTCTCTGTGAACCTTTCCTTTTTTTTTGTTTTTGTTGTTGATTTGCAATTCACAAGAAAAAGGCAGGAAAATATAATTATCAAGTCAATTTTTTTGGGCAGGTTTTCTTAGTAAGCATAGCCCTTCACTTAAATTCAAATTATTGTCTCATATGTAATTTGAGTAACTATTAAAACTAGGTTTTAATTTTCTGCTTAGTAGCTCCCTGTCCTGACTGCCGTGTACCACACAAGGATTGTGTTGTCTGCCAAGCATACTTAAAAGTCTATGGAAGAGACTTTCTAAAGCATCGTTTTGGTCATGAGCTGCACAGAAGGACATCTTCAACTCCTGCGTACACTAGTTTTGCTTCTGAACCTCCAAGAGTCCAAGCCCGTTTACCTGAAAATGACATCTTGAATGAATCAAGGGCTTATAGTGAACCTATTCCAAGAAGTAGGAGAATATTTCCAAGAGAAAATGGTTATGGCTCATTTCTATCCTCACCAAGTCGCGGAAGCTTAACGACAAGATACGCTTCTCCAGTTCCTGTAAGTATGATTCTTTTTTCTCCAACAGGCCATTTTACAGTTATGGATGGAAGCGAGGGTGAGGGTGACCTTGTTTTGATACAAACCTTCTTTGCTTTGTTTTGGAAATTGTTCTTGAAAAATACTAGTAAGCATAAGAGTAACTTGATTTGCATAATAAAGCAGGAAAGTTTGTATCAAAACAAGGTCACCCTCAGCCTTGCTTCCATCGATAACTGTAAAATGGCCTATTTAGGAGATAATATGGATAATTTGGATAAGCCTTAGTTTCTTTGCACCCTGATGGCCCAAGCTTATTTCTGTTCTGTTTATATTTTCGTAGTCTTATCGCTCAAGACAACTACCTGAGATGTCTGATTCAGAAGAAGATGACACAGATAGTATGTTGTCCTTGCAGGAATTAAGGTCAGTTTGCTTATAACTTATGGAGTGTTTTCAAATGACGTCACGGCGGCCATATTGGTGTTCCAAAACATTAAAACGGCGTTAATGTTGGTGTCCCGAACCAGTCCTGTGGGAGTTGAACTCTTTTCTCATGCAAACGCTTTCTTTTGTTCCAATAAATTTGCATAGATGCTGGCCACGTGAGTGAAAACACCCTATAGACGTGGCCCAGTTATTCGAGATGTGAATAACGCTATTCACTGGATAAATCTCTTTTGGTGGATAATGCTGTTGGTTTCCCTATTACTTATTTACTGGAGAGGGATTTATCCAATGGATAGTGCTTTCCAATATGTATTTAAACAACTGGGGCCAGTGGACAGAAAGTAAAGATGGAGGTACAATGTACTTTTCAAAATCAAGACTTGCATGTATCAAAAATTTAATACACAAAACCAAACACAGATGTTGCTCAATAGTAGCTTTCATTTGAAAAGTCTCGCTTAAGAATTAAATTCTAACTCAGAAGATCAAAACCTCTTTTACTGCTTTATAAACAGTACCACAGGAAAGTACTGCTCAGTAGCTTTCATTTGAATGGTCACACTTTAGGATTTAGTCCATCTACTCAAAAGTTAGAACCACCTTGTAGAGCGTAATTAATAGCACCACAGGAAGGTACTGCTCGCTAGGTTTCACCAGGGTATGGAAGCGGGCATTTCCGGGATTCGGGATTTGACCAAAATACATTGCGGGATTCGGGAAAATGTTGACGGGAAGCGGGATTTGACTGCTACCCGGGAAGCGGAATTCGCCGAAATTTTGAACACGGATGCGGATTGGGAAAGAAAATTATATTCGGAATAGCGATAAAACCAGTCAAGTTGCGAGATTATCGTAAAAAGGAGCGGGAAAGCCGGATCAGGACCCCTCCATTCCAGACCCTATTTGAGCTATTTGTATCTGATTTCAGATCTGAGATAAATGATGCTCGACTTGAATCACTTGATAGATCATTTGAGGATCCCCAGCACCCGACACTAGGCACTAGACTAGATAGAAGGTAACCTGATAACTTAAATAATAGCTGGTTAGAAAGAATTAGCGGGCGGATTTATGCTAGCCAGAAACGCAGATTTAAATAATAACGATTTTTATCCTTAACCATTCTCGAAACTGCTTACCACTGGTTTCCCCGCGAAATGACGTCTGAGAAATGAGTACAGAAATTCCATATTGATGACGTGTCTGACGTGTCACTACCCAGATCTGGGTAGTGACACGTCAGACACGTCATCAATATGGAATTTCTGTACTCATTTCTCAGACGTCATTTCGCGGGGAAACCAGTGGTGACTTCGCGAAATGTCGGTTATTTTCACAGGCTATTTGCACGTAAGTGTTAACTATTTTACACAGATTTGTGCTAACATAGTCACACAAATAGAACGGTTAAAATTAGACTTGGGAACGCTGTTACTAGAAAGAAACCCAAGAAAATGCCACATTTAACTGCTTTTCTTTTAAGAATTTGATAGTCTATTGATTGAGCTTCCATAAATAGCTGCGTTAAACATCAAGACGTTTGTAGGCAGAACCTAAAAGCGTTAGCCGTCAGTTGCAATTACATCTCTGTGTGTCCAATTTTCAGTTTGAGAGGTTATTGACAAGCAAGTTTTATGGACACATCGTTCTGCGGCGTTAAGGTGAAATGTCTTCATACTTTCTTGTGTTGGTTTTGGGAAACACAATTAAACACTTCCCTGCTTAAAAACTAAGTTCACCCTTGCCAATCTCTCTCGTAATTTTAAGGAAAAACAATTTTATTAAGTTATGAAATGTTTCTTTTTTTAGTGTAACTGTGCCGCTCTCTCAAGACAAGTTCTGGTCTAGTCGCATGGCTGAATTTACAGGGAGGTCACATCGAGCGTTGTTCGACGAATCCTTACAAGAATTATATACAGATCTCTACAACAAAGCTAGAGATTTATAACAGTGTTTTAATATTTAAAGAGTTTGAACTCATTTGATCCAAGCAGAATTATAGCAGATTTTTCCTTTTATTATTACTTATTAGTACAAAACATGAAGAGGACAAACATACAAGTCTTAGCAAGCTGTCTGAAGATCTTGAAAGAGTAGGATATATTGTCTACGTTTTTTAAAACGTTATTAGTAAACATCTCCTGAGCCTAGTTCTATAATACTCAATAGTTTTGTACTTTTAGAGAGGCATATTGAATAAATTAATACTGTCAAATCGGGTTTCTTTTTTTTTTCTTCTTTCCGTCATCTGTCCCTTTTTTTGTTTCTAATTTCCAATTGAAGGAGCTGTGTCACGAAATTCAGCCAAATTAGGAAATTACAAAATGCCGCTTAAAATTAATGTCGTTTACATGTAATTCCTTTGCTTACTTTAAGTTCCATAGCGATTGAGGGCGAGTAATTGGCAAAATTAAACAAAACTAGCCTGCGTGGCGGACGTTTGAATGGGAAGAGAAAGGGAGTTTTAGGCGCGAGAGAAACGCGCCTAAAACTCCCTTTCCCTTCCCTTTCAAACGCCTGCCATGCTAAAACAAAATGAACTGGACTGCCGTGACACAGCCCCTTTAATTAGTTACTTACCTACTTGTGAATTTTGTTGTTACTTCCAATAACGGTTACGTCTGAAGTGTATGTTTTTTAAAATACGAAACGTCAGTGTAAAAGTTATATTAGGGAGCTTAAGCAGCGACGTTTTTGAGCGACGCACGTCAACCGGAAGTGAGGTATTTTCCCTCTTAACATGCCTTGATGATATAAAATTTGTATTCCTTAGCTTCTTTACTGTTATAGAGGCGATTTGACTGAAAATTTGCGCGAAACCACCGTCAAAAAATGAAAAAAGGCCACTTCCGGTTGACGTGCGTCGCTCAAAAACGTTGTTGCTTAAGCTCCCTATTTTTCCCGCTATGCGTTCTTGCCTTATATCCATCACCGCAGTTTGCCTGTTATTTCTTACCATCTACATATTTGCTGCTTGAGTTACTTGAGATCAGCAATGAGTGCAGGTTAGAGTGCTACACTCAGGGTGACAAAGGGGTTTTCTGTGACCCAAATTATAAGCGTGATGCGTTATCGAGCCCAAATTAGGGAGCTTAAGCAGCGACGTTTTGGAGCGACGCACGTCAACCGGAAGTGAGGTATTTTTCCTCTTATAAACATGCCTCTGATATAAAATTTGTATTCCTTAGCTTCTTTACTGTTATAAAGGCGATCTGACTGAAAATTTGCGCGAAACCACCGTCAAAAAATGAAAAAAGGCCACTTCCGGTTGACGTGCGTCGCTCAAAAACGTCGTTGCTTAAGCTCCCTATTAGCCGTGTGAGACGTGATTGGGCATAACAGCGTGAAGCATCATTTTTATCATTTGAAACTAGAAGCAGAGACATTAAAAATTATTATTATTATTAACTTCTTGCCTTTTTTTCTTGTTCCTCGAACTCTGATTTCCTCGGATCAAATCATAATTGGATACTTGTTAATGTAGATAATATTCTATTTTTTTTTCCGTGATGCATGATAGCTTTAAAAAAAAAGGAATTTATGCGTGACATCCCCCCCCCACCCCCCTTTGGCACCCTGTACACAGCTTTAGTAAATAAACAGCACCGAGCCTGCAGTGCAGGCGTTTTCTTTGAGCGCGCAATTTGCTCGCGAAAGCGCCATGTCGAGACTTCCCGAAGAGAGGAGGAAATGGGGCGAGTCAAAGGCAGCGGGGTTACTATTTCTACTCTCCCCAATCTTCCACTGTCATAAAATCAAAGATGGCGGCTACAACAATATTACGAACACGAACAAGGTTTTCGCCCGCCTAAAATACGCCTGCACTGCAGGCTAAACAGCACCAAAAGTGTCATTTCCGCTCATATTTTGTTTAATCCATTTTAGTTCCAGGGGCCCGTTTCTCGAAAGTCCTGGTAACCTTTTCGGGCCCGAAAAAATAAAAATCCTTTTTTTTTTTCATTACTCTACCTGTATTTTAGATGCAAATTTTCATCTCCCCCGCAGACGTCCATTTGCTTGTGACGAAAACAAAAATCCTTTTATTTTTTTCTTGCTCATGCAAATTTAGCCTCCCCGCAGACGTCCATGCGTGACGAACGAAAACCAAAGGACGTCTGCGGGGAGGCTAATGCAAATTCTGCGTAGAGAGAATATTGCGGTTTTGGCCTTCAGCAAGGCTCCCGTCACGGAATGGGCAAATCTTTACGCAACGCTAGGTTTAAGAACAAAGCGTGTTATATATAATCACAATAAAAAGATCATTTCACTTTTAACAGTAAGTTTGTAGTTCGGCTCAGAACTCTAAGGGTCGGATATTTAAACGAGGTCTAACTTAGACCGCGGTTTAAGAAATCCTTGTACTTCCAGATCTCTTCTTTAGTGGGTCAATTTAAGAAGATAAATGCTTTACTGGTCTTCATTATATGCTTTAATGAAACTGCTCACGACAAATGGTGCTTAGATAAAAGCGTTGAGCAAACTGAAAATGACTTAGAACGCCGTTTTGTTAAAAACTAATTAAACTCCGTTTAAATAACCGGCACTAAGGTTTTCTGTCAATTGAAAAGACACTATTTTGGCAAGACTGAATCAAGTCTTGCCTCGTAACTGTGATGAAGCGTAAACAAGTAATGACTTTTAAGAATGATTTCGTAACCCATAAAAAAAAACGTGTATTTTTTTTATAAGAAGACCTCGCGGCTACTGTAGCTGTTTCAGGTTTTACATAGGGCAAGGAGAAAGCCTCTACAGTCAAAGACGTTCAACTACAGCAAAGTCTCGGAAGACATATCTATTTCTGTCAGAGCTGTAAACATTTGAAACCAAGATATTGACTAAAGATTGGTCGTATCTGTGGCATCCTACAAACTTATCCTTAGGAAAGTTAAAGCCGCAGTATAGTTTTGCACCGACGGGCGCGATGCAATCTTCTTCGAGCGCACAAGTTACAAGCCATTTCATGATGTGTTTTTGTACTTGAGGTGTGTTAATCACAATCATCGAATTTGCCTCGAATATATCTTTGACCGCATCATTTGTTTTGATGGGTACGTACTCCATCATTCCCGGGTGTGTTGCGGCGATTATAGAATGACCAGTTATTCCTACTTGAAGAACATAAATCCCGACCTCTGACGAGCCAAACGTCAGACGTTGTAGGACTTCGTGCGTGTTATTCCCTTTAAATTTGATAGATGAATCAAACCACATGGCTCCATCAAACTCTCCCAAAATTTCTTGAATTATAAGCGGCTTCCATGCGTAATTTATCAGGGTACTAACATGCGGTAGATATTCGTTGAAGTCAAACATTCTGTATTGCACAAAGGGAAGATTCTTCAAAATGAACTTTGCTTGTGAACGAGTCAATCCAAGGTCATAAAAAATCACTCTTATACCTGGAAACAGTTTTGCGAAAGTTGAAATGTGTGCTCGGAACTCTTCGAAGTGATTGCTTGAAGCTCCAGTGATAGGAACAACGAGATCGAAAAATGAAGTTTTTGCGTCTATTGTTTTGACCGGTCTTCGCTTAAATGTTTGCTCTCTATGGATTTTCTCTATCATTTGCAAAGTTTCCTTGTCGACCTTGAACTCTTCGGCGGACAAATTTTCTCCACTTTCCGCATTTTTTATGTAATAATGACCAACAGAGTATTTCCAATTTGGCGAAAGATGTCGACGACGCTGTCGAAAGCTTAGAAACTGAATGGAGCTACAAAGGAAGATGATAAGTACTATTTCTCCTCCCAGCATCTGTAACCATGTTACCCTTAACCGCATTTCCAAGGCTGAAAATGATGACTGAAAATAACGTCGAAAATATATGTCAAAGATGGGCCTACTTTTGCAAACCGTCAAGCATGCAGGCTTGTGCGCAAATTTGCTCGAAAAAGTGTCCGCCCAGCCTGGTCCCTAAGCGTTCTCTGCTCGGTCAATGCTGGACTCTGCCGTGAGCTCTGACGTCACCGAGAGATACTTTCCGAGAAGGTCAGCATTAGATCCCATCGGATGGATGGAGACAAAATAATTTAAGTACATAGAGTATCAACCCCAACCCAAAAAAAGAACTTCACCATTACTAAAAGCAGTCCTTAACCCTAAAGGAAAACTACGTTGTGTAAATTTCATGAGGTGTCAGAAGGGGCTACAGTTAATGGGATCAGAAACTCGAGTTTCTGATGGGATCTAATGATAACCTTCCATTATACTTTTTCTCGCCAGCTCTTTCCCAGACTTCGCGCGGACAACGGTTCAAGAGAGAACGTCTAGGGACTAGGCTGGGCGGACAGTTTTTCGGGCAAATTTGCGTGCTTAGAGGTCGGGGAAAAAAAGGTTTTTCAAGATTTTCAGCGAGTTTTAATTTTGGAAACGCATTTTTTTTACACTTTAATAGTTTAATTTCAAGATATATGTAATACCAATTGTTCTATAGGCGGCGGGAGCTTTCCGCAGGTGACGGGTGACTAGTGACGAGTGACGGGTGACGGGTGACGGGTGAGTCCAATTTTTAAAAATAGTATAAATAAATAATTACAAAGGTGTTAATAGGAAATATGAAACGTAATTCATTCCGTGTTTTCTTGGCTTCCATTTGTAATTATTTATTTATACTATTTTTACGTTTCAAATTTCTTTCAACGGTTTTTGTTTTCATATACTTTTAACGTTCGCTTTTTTCTTATTTCGCGTGTTAGTATAGTATCATATTGCACGCTATTCTTTTTTCAAATTGTATTGTATGTAGGACCCTGAAGAATATTGGTAAAAAAAAATATATACGAGGGTCTGGATGGATGTCGGTTGTCAGAAAATTTTGGCCATTTGTCAGTTGTCAGTTAAATTTTAGGTTTTTTGTCAGTTGTCAGTTAAATTATTATTAATAATTAACTATGGTTATTTTTTATCCAAGTTTTATAGCTAAAAAGGCGCACGTGATGTAAATTAAACATTAAGTAAATTCGAAAACTGATGCAATAGTAACAAAATTTCTATGAGTTTCCGATTGAAAGCCCTCCTGCCAAAACTTGTGTTTCTCCTCCACACAAACGTTTTTGCTGGCGAAGGTCCAACATTTTCAGCCGTTAAGCCAATCAAAATTTATACCTTCAGAATACTGGAACTAGATCGTAAGAAAGACCAAGAAAGACCGTATCTGAATCATCTAGGCCTTGCAAGGGGGAGCCTGCGTAGCAAGCGTTTCCGTGTGGTTTCGGAGCAAAGAAATACCGAGGAAGGGGACTTTCGGTTTTGACCGCGCGAGAAATGAAACGAGAGCCAAAAAGTGAAAAACCCTAACCTTAACCCTAACCCCCCTCCCCCCTCTTTTACTTCCGGCACTTTTCTTGCGGTCTGTGACTCTCGTTCCTCGTTCTTTTCTCCTAAACCGCACCGAAACGCCAAAAAGACGAACACACAAAAGTGTTTTCTATCAAGGATCGACAGCGAAACGACTAAAAACAAAGCGGTGAGCGGTGCTTGACTCAACTGTGTCATTTTCTCACTACGTGTATCTTTTACAAGGTATTCACAGCAGGACGTTTTGCTTACACACCCAGTCATTTCCACAGCTCGCGTGGGGTGATTTTCAGGCGCAGTTACTTGCTTCGTCCGGCTAATATCCATGTAAAAAATTACAGTGCGATTGCCAGGAGAAAAAATAAACCTTTTTATCCAGCCAGAACCGGCATAAATTTTTCATATTTTCAGCTAGCGAGGCGCTCATTCAGATTTCCCAGCCAGCTAATTAACCAATCTCTTTTTTTTTCCAGCTAGCTCAAATTCTGCCTGTAGAGTATTTTGTCGAGCGGCTCCGTCAGGTACTCCTGGCTACACAGGTTATGAAAGGGGTTTGTAGAAAACAAAGGACAATCATCAGGCCCTTTGTCGGTTGAAAGTAAAACCCAAGGCAAATGTCAGTTGTCAGTTAAATTTTAGGTGATTTATCAGTTGTCAATTGAAGTTTTGGCCATATGTTCACAGATAAATGTTCACAGACAGATCACGCTTGCGCGTGCGCATAATCGGGACACTGTCCCCTTAAGGGGAGGGTTTGTTTGTTGATCCTGCACGCAAGGACCGCGAGATCTGCGTGTTGCGAAAGGAAACCCATCTACTTCTATTCTAATCGTTTTCAGCATTGGAAATGTGGCGAAGACTTACTTGGTTACACATACTGGCTGTATTAGTCCTCGTAATAATCTTCCTTTTTAGCTCCACTCGGTTTCTGCCGAAACAACACATTCGGTGGCTTCGGCCGAGTTGGACGAGTGTGAATTTTCAGCTGCATTCTACGGACCATTTCCATTATCACATAGACAGGACCAAAAGCGCAGGTACTTTGGCCGGCAAAGATTTCAAGATCGACGACGAAACCTTGCAAATGATAGAGAAAATCCATAGAGAGCAAACATTTAAGCGGAGACCGGTCAAAACAGTAGACGCAAAAACTTCATTTTTCGATCTCGTTGTTCCTGTCACTGGGGCTTCAAGCAATCACTTCGAAGAGTTCCGACAACACATTTCAACTTTCGCAAAACTGTTTCCAGGTATAAGAGTGATTTTTTATGACCTTGGATTGACTCGTTCACAAGTAAAGTTCATTTTGAAGAATCTTCCCTTTGTGCAGTACAGAAAGTTTGACTTCAACGAATATCCACCGCATGTAAGTAACCTGGTAAATTACGCATGGAAGCCGCTTATAATTCAAAAAATTTTGGGAGAGTTTGATGGCGCCATGTGGTTTGATTCATCGATCAAATTTAGAGGGAATAACACGCACGAAGTCCTACAACGTTTGGCTCGTCAGAGGTCGGGATTTATGTTTTTTGTGGGAATAACTGGTCATTCTATAATCGCCGCAACACACCCGGGAATGATGGAATACATACCCATCAAAACAAATGACTCAGTCAAAGATATGTTCGAGGCAAATTCAATGATTGTGATTAACACACCTGAAGTACAAACACACATCATGAAATGGCTTGTAACTTGTGCGCTCATAGAAGACTGCATCGCGCCCGTCGGTGCAAAATTATACTGCGGCTTCAACTTTCCGAAAGATAAGTTTGGAGGATGTCATAGATACGACCAGTCTTTAGTAAATATCTTGGTTTCAAATGCTTACAGTTCTGATAGAAATAGATATGTCTTCCAAGGCTTTGCTGAAGTTGAACGTCTTTGACTTTACAAGTTTTCCGCTAGCCTCAAGGGTCCACCACGCTTGCCAAATCCAATGCTAAATGAGCTAAATCATGTTGGGAGAAGAGCGAAAATGTAGCGTAATCTGTTGCGTTCGTCGCAACAGGCTACGCTCGCAGGATAATTGATCTTGTATAAACAGTAAAGCAGGTATTAGAACTGCTGTAAAGTCAAAAAATTATCATGCTTATAAAATCGCTTATTTGAAATGTACTCTTAACGTGAACTCAAATCCCAAAAACGAAGCATTTTCGTTAAATAGAAGCCGAGAAAATGAAGGCCAAAGTAATCACGAGGTTGAAATCCGACGCGATGCTTTCCGTTGTTGACAGAAATTTTGCAGTTTTCATAACCCGTAGCGGACGTAACGCGATAACGCGTTATGAGTTTCAAGTTCACTAGGGAAACATTATAGCAAAATTCCCTTACATTCTGCTTCCCCAAATAAGGTACGATTGTATCGATATTTCTAACTCATTTCTACAGCTGTAAAAAGCCTTCTATATATGGAGACACATTAGATATTTGATCCTTGGAAGGTCGATGACAGATAAAGCCATCATCATTCTGCCGGCCGAATTTCGAGCAGAATAAGCGATTTTTGAGGCGAGCATTATGCCGGTGCATTATGCCGGCAGAATAAGGCATTTTCGAACAGAATTTAAGCAGAATAAGGAAAACTCAGCGGCACTAATGATATGCACAACAGTTGTAAGAAAAATTAAAAACTAAATAAAACTGAGCAAATGGCAAATACCTTGTGATTAATTTGATTGTTCAGCTATCACGCACACACATTATTACAATTTGCTAACGCATAATGAGTATCTATTTAGTTTTTAACGGAATGAGCGATTTTTATGAGCACTGCCGGCGGGCAAAATGAGCCATTTTCCGAGCAGAATTTATTCACGCGTACATCATCACCATCAAGCTTTATTTAACCACGTGCACGGTATCTCTTCACTACAAAACTCTCTTCCAGAGAACCGTGCCCTAAATTGCAATAGTATAATCTAAGGTAATAGCTTATATAAAAATATATAGAGGATATTACAGGGTGGCGAGAAGATATGAATTTTATGTTCGAGTGGCAAGAACAATATCTCAATATATCTCGTGACGTCATTGAACGATAGGACACTCACAAAGGTGACATACGGAAAATACGCCACTCGGGTCCCGGATGAAGTGGCGTATGGAATCTACGAGTGGTTTAGTTCCCAGTAAAACACTCTCCTCCATATAATATATATATATATATATTTTTTTACTGTATCCACGTGGCCTAGTGGCTTTGTAACAAGGCCGGATATTTTGAGACCGCCATCTTGATTCTTGACAATTTTTTCGTCTTTCATCACGACTAAAGGTGTTTAGAAGCACAGCATTGAAATATCTTCATGATTCAAACGCTGAGTACAGTGATGCAGTTGTTTAAGGGTTCATATTTTAGTGTGGGTGCTGATTCAAAACATTTCTGACCTAATTCGGCTATCGCGATCGCACGATACTTAACGAACGTAATGTATGAGCTCTGTTTCAGCTGCTTCAACGTAGAGTATAAGAGATCGTATAATTTCCACAGTTTTTCCAATAAAACAATAATTGTAATTCAGTTAGATATGGACTTTAATTCGGGAGTAAGTAATTGGTGGTTTTCCTTCCCGGCCAAAAAAAAAACAACAACATGATACATGGGGGGGTACCATCCTACTTTGAAGCTCTCTGGTATCCCCACCTTTACTTTTATCGTAAGTCTAACGCATACCATATAGATCAATCTACAATATAACATGAAATTTTTTGCGATCGGGGTAAATGTCACGTAGTTATAATGCCACGCCCCTTTGAGGTCTGAGTTGAAAATCTGCTGTTGCCGGCATTTTTTCGTGAAAATCTCTCGGCTACACATAATGCGCATTAGTGCCTTGCGCTGAACAGAGTTTCACCAAAATCGCAAAGACCCAATTCGAGAAATTCAGCGGTTTCCAAATTTAGGTCAAAATTTATGCGAAAATGATAAGCAAACTTTACACGGATTATACCTAATAAACTATGAGATTCATCTCTTTATTTTAGGCATCCTTATAACAGATGGGTCCTTGCACGTCAGCAAAACAATTTAGGGCCTTGTAAATGCGCGCGATTTTGAGCAAAGCAAACATATAGAAATTATAGTTTTCGCTATTTGTTGACGTTTGTCAGCGTTTAAGAGTCAATCTAACGAAAAAAGCATTTTCTTAAAAATTCGTAGTTTTTTTTCCTTCAAATTTTTTCAGGGCCACAATTGATTAACTAACTACCCGGACTCTGAATTTCATGGTCATTGAAAAACTGTGACATTACCTTCTATAAGCCCAAACTTAGCGTTTTGGCTGAGTTTGTGCTTTGGGAGTTGTCTATTGTTTCTAGTCTGTCATTATACAGCATTCTTGTTCAGCACGCGTGCAATGACCACGCTTGGCTGACTTCGGAATGCGCATCGAGATATGATAATTTAGTATAAGAAAATAGAAGGGATTCCTGTCACGAGTTGGTTTAATTATTGGCTTGCATTAAACCTATGAAAAAATGATATTTTTTTTAATAGTAAGTAGATTTAGTGTGTAGCACTTCTTGATTTTTTTTGCAAAGGCACAAGAAGCACGAGAATTGATTAAAAATTGTGAGTTCAACCTCTATGTATCAGCGATGGCCTGTCTCACTGTACCAAAATTATCATACCTCGGTGAGCATTCGGAAGTCAGCCAAGCGCGGTCATTGCACACGTGCTGAACAAGAATGCTGTATAATGACAGACTAGAAACATTAGACAACTCTCAAAGCACAAACTCAGCAAGGCCCTAAATTGTTTTGCTGACTTACAAGGACCCATCTGTTATAAGGATGCCCAAAATAAAGAGATGAATCTCATAGTTTATTAGATATAATCCGTGTAAAGTTTGCTTATCATTTTCGCATAAATTTTGACCTAAATTTGGAAACCGCTGAATTTCTCGAATTGGGTCTGTGCGAATTTGGTGAAACTCTGTTCAGCGCAAAAGGCATTTAATTTGCGTATTTTAATAATATAACAATTATTTGTGTAGCCGACAGATTTTCACGAAAAAATGTCTGCAACAGCAGATTTTCGACTCAGACCTCAAAGGGGCGTGGCATTATAACCACGTGACATTTACCCCGATCGCCAAAAATTTTATGTTATATTGTAGATTGATCTATATGGTATGCGTTAGACTTACGACTTAGTAAAGATGCGTAGCTAAAGTAGAAACAATAGCGTAAGGGAATAAAATTGAAAGAAGCCAAAAAATAATTAGATATTGTTTTATTGAGTGGAATAACATGATATAAGTACAAATATGTTTGGGCAGAATGATAATTTTCTTGGAAGTAAATAAAATGTTAGGCTATCAGCCTTAACGTTGCATGAAACATAATTTAATTGCAGATGTTGTAAAGCCCGTGTGATTTCTTAAAATCGGTTGAGCAAATTTTCTTGTAAACAATTTGCGTTCTTGGAAAAGGGACAAAGTCCAATATCTTCACGTGCAAATTGTGCGCATAAGTTACTTTTATAGAAAAGGGACGACTCCTACCTTCTTTGTGGCCCGCAAAAAGCAAGGAAGACGGAAGATGTGGAAGATTTGCATAAAAAAAAAGGCAGGAAAACACTCACGAATGACAAACTAGACTAGCGAAACGCTCAGCACCGACTGGCAATGCGCATGCGCACCTCATGTGACTTTGTAGTGACGTAGACTGATGACAAGTTGTGATAACTCGAATTTCCTCACATAGGAACCACGAAAGGGGCAAAGTCCAACACCTTCACGTGCAAACTGTGATTGTGTATCTCTTGCAGACTGGCTTTTCACAGTAATAATAGTAACTAAAATGTATGAAGACCTCTCAAGTTTTGTAACTAGTGCCTTAAGTAAAGACCCTTTTCGTTGAAGAAGGAAACAGTAAAACAGGCCTTTAAGGCCTTATCAAAATCTTAGGCTGTTTTTAAAGGAAGCAATAGAGAAGACTAGAGAAGTGTGACGTTACGTTACCATGGTGGCAAAATGTTTGGATCACTACAAAAGGGAGCTTAGGCAACAACGATGCCGACGGCAACGAGAACCGCAAAAAAGGTAATAAGTTTACATCAGTAAAACAACAGCTTTGCACGTGCATCACGCTTTTTTGCACATTTCTTAGCCATCGTTGCACGACTGCGACTTCCTAACTTCAGACGCCCACTTTACGTAGCCTGCGAAAACAGCCGTTTCTCCTCGCTCTTCTTCGCTGCCGGTAGCCTGCTTTGCCCTCGCCCGCCTTTATTACTTCAGCAACCAAAGCCGCCATGCTACGCAGGCTAAGCTGGCGGCGAAAAGCGAGGAGAAACGGCTGTTTTCGCAGGCTAGCTTTACGGAGTGGGTGAACAAAACACATAGTTTCTTTTTCTTTTTCGAAACTCTGATACGGACCTTTCGGATTCAATCCAGAAAATTTCGCCAACATTTGACAAATTAAATGAAAATGAATAAGATTTATGAAGTTTGAAACAGTGCGAATTTACTTTTTCAGTGAATTTTCGGTTTGTTCTCATCCAAAAATTTTGGAACCACGTGACGTAACGACTTCTCTCTCTTAACGGCTCAATCTCGTACCCAGAGCCTTCAGGATTTTTGGTCAGCAAGGGCTGACAAAAAAGCCTGAAGAGTATGGGTACGAGATTGTTGACAGCGGTATTTTAATATTATTTCACTGGGAAGGCCATTCCACAGCACTGCACCACGATAACCGAAACTCTTCCTGGCAGCATCTGTTTCCGGTCTTCGAATAAAAATATTGTTTGAGCTACCTCTAAGGTTGTTTGGACTCACTTGTGAGATAGGTTCAAATAAAGATTTCAGGCCTACGGGAAATAGGGTTATTAATGGACTTATACACGCAGACCGCCAACTGTTTTTTACGCCTTTCATCAAGAGTTTCCCAACCGAGGTCATTCAAGATATCAGTGGATCGATATTCGTAGCCTAAATAAGTTATTATTCTTGCAGCTCTATTTTGCAATTTCTAGAGTCTGTCAGACAGGGATTTACCTAGGCATCCGCACACCTCGCTACAATAATCAAAATATGGCAATAAAAGAGCCTCATACATCCCAATTAATGTCTGGCGGGGCACATGATCACGAACCTTTTTTAACGCTCCAAGATTGGCAGAGATCGTTACTCTAGTATCAGTTTGTGTTTGCCAGTTCAGGGTCTCACCGACTCGAGTAGCTAAGTATCCATAGCAGCTCATCCTAGACAGAGACTGCCCATTAACATTCACTTCAAAATTACGGTGCATGTTATTGAGCCCATATCTGCCAGCTATTTATAAGGTATTTCGTCTTTTTGGTTTTAAGAATAAGCTTACTGGCATGAAGCCAAGAATCTACTATGATTCAATTCAAACTGTAACATTTCAGGGTCAATTGCACATGGAGTAAGGTATGTATCATCTGTATACATCCTGGCATAGGATGCTGGAGAACAGGCTTTGAGATAATTAATGTACATTAAAAATAACAGAGGCCCAAGTATAGACCCCCGACGCACTCCACAGCTTGCGCCGTAAGGCATGTATCATCTGCATACATCCCAGGATAGGATGATAGAGAACAGGCTTTTTATCTCTTAACGTACATTAAAAATAACAGAGGCCCAAGTATAGACCCCTGAGGCACTCCACAACTTATAAACTGTTCGTTTGAAAAGAAACAATTTATGCCTGAACGCTGCTTGCGGTTCAAAGGATAAGAAGTGAACAATCAGGAAAGCCAGAGTGAATCTACTCCATAAGCTTTTCAAGTATCAAAAACTTTCTTAAGGTCGACAAAGAGTACACTGTTCAGTTAACTATTGTCGATATTTAAATACCAATCATTTGTAGCTTCAAGGAAAGCAGTAAAAGTTGAATGCATTGGTCTAAAATCATCTTGAGAATCTGCAAGAAGACCATGCTTACTTAGATAACTGTATCTGATTGAAGATAATCTTCTCAATTATTTTATTAACAATCAGCAGAACAGATAGGCCTATTCTTAGGATCCAGCTTAGAGCCTTCCTTAAACAGTGGAGTTACTTTCACAATTTTCGAGTCTTCAGGAAATATACAGCTCCTGATAGACAAATTAATGATAAATGTTAATAAAGGTGTGATAACTGGTGCAGCTTCTTTCAAGAGCTTGCATGATACATGTATTCCATCAAGGCCACTACCCTTGTTAAAATTTAATGACTGAATTAAATTATACATATCATTACTATTGATTTCATGTGTGAGTTGGTTTTCAAGTATGAAATGAGAGAGTGAGAGTTTTTCAACATGCGTTCCTCTTCATTACATTAATTGTCTTTATGCCTGACCTCAAGGTATTTTGTTCCATGCATTTTGGTCAGGAGAAAATAATTATTTTTATTTATAATATTACATGTAAGTTAACATGCAAAGTTATAAATTTCAAGGATGTTTCAAGATCTACTTTGAAAGAAATCAAGTATTTTTTACGGACCCCAACGACCATTAAGGGCATTTCAAGATGGCTGCTTAAATTCAAGACCTTTGCAGGATAATTTGTAAGAACCATGTTTAGTAGAGGCAGAAGACGAAAAAAATAACTGGACAGGTCAGATTTACAGCCAAGAAGACTATACTGTACTGGTTAATGTTTGCGAAAAAAAAAAGTTTTGCATCACAGATTTGACTGTGGTGTACAACAATGAATTTTATCCAGCTTATATTCTCTTCCCTCCCTGTACTCGAGAAACTCTCTTTTTATCTAAAAAAAAGCCTGTGCATTGGTCATAATCATAAAGAAGAGCTCTGGTGCACATTGTATGTATAAGAAACGGTGAGAGCATGACAGGAGGACAACACATGACAAAAATAAGCACTCAATCAAAAAGTAGTTTCCCTTTTGTTTACTGAGAACCCCAAAAAACAGCTGGTCAACTAAGATTGTGCAGAACACTTACAAAATTGTCCTGCTACTAATAGTCATTTACAATGAAAATGATTACAAAGCTTGTTCAAAGTTGCATTTAGCTTTGGCATAGCAGGTTTGGTAGCCTATCTTAATGCCTTATCCACTGTCTGTTTACACTCCTTCTGCTTTTGAGGGTTCATCAAAGTTCTCAACTAATTCTGTGAAACATAAGAAAAAAGGCAAATAAGTTTAATATTAGACCTAGAGGTGCTTGTACATGTCCAATGATGGAAAAATAGAAGAGTCTCGCAGAGCCCAGCTTTCTCTCTTTTTTCAGACAAAACTATAGCTCTCACTTTTTTTAGATCAAAACTGATAGCCTGTGTATCAAGGCCCCTTCCAGGTTAAATGCGACAAGCAACATGACCCAAGAAGTAGCGACAGAGTGTACAATGAAATTGCGTCAAGAGACAACTTCCCTCAGCCAAATTGCGACAATGATGGCAAAGCCGAGAATAAGTGAAAAAGAATGGTGGGTTGGCTAATTTATTGGTTCAGAGAATGTTTCTTGTCAGTGTCAGTGAGCTTCAGTTGACCCCCCTTGAATTGTGTTAATTGTGAATGGTGATGTATAGGTGTTTGATACGCGAAATGTTCACTGAGAAATTGCAGAACTGTAATGGTTTCTTTACAACGCATCGCTATTCCCCTTTTCTTAAATTCTGACAAAGACAAAGGATTTTTATTCAATTTCCGACAGCGACATGAAGCATTTAAAAACACTGACACAAGACATTTTAAAATTCAGATGAGCAACATGGGACCCCAAGCACCACCTTGTTGAAGGCACAAATGTAATAACTGGTCACAAATGTAATAAAGGTCACAAGTGTAATAACATTTGGTCACAAATGTAATAAAGGTCACAAATGTAATAACATTTGATCACAAATGTAATAATTACCAACTTAACAATTTAAAAAAGAGTAACTCACTCAGAGACATAAATTAAAGGTAACATAACCTTGTATTCTGAATTGTGCAGGGCAAAGATGACTTTTAAATCATATCCAAAAAAAGGGGAATTCAGTCAAAAGGGCCTAAGAGAAACGTAAAGAACGGGAAGTTGACGAGAACCAAAAGAAGTAGGGAGGGGGAAAGCGAAAGGCAAAACTTGAGTGGACGGTGAAAGTCTTTTGTCTGAGCTTCGCAAGCTATTATTAAGCTTTGGGAACCGCACGACCAGCGAAATACTCGACAGGTATGCAAAGTTTCGGATAGTTTGGAACCTTTAATTTTAAGCGAGATAGAGGCCGGAAAATGCCTCAAATAGCTCTTCTTGATGGCATCAGACGGACGGCTGCGAAGGAGACCAGAATTGATTAAGCACGATAGGTTACCCTCATACGAATTACATGTAAACTTGCTAATTGGTTTATGACGGCATTGAGAAGTTTCAACATGCGACTGTAGTGTCACCTGTTCGTCACACAGTCCTGGCGGAAATTTTATTGTTGCAATATAGTGAAATAAGGACTTATGACAGCCTATAACTTCAAAACAATGGTTTAATTTCATTAAATCTGAAGATTAACTTACAACCTTGAAAAAGAAGGGCTTATGGTTATCAAATTAGGACTTCGAATTGCTTTCCTGCTATACATGGCAGGGAAACTGTAGTTGTGCATACAAAAAAGTATGGGACCGAACATCACTCCTATTAATTAATACACCAAGCACGAATTTTCTCTGAGAAGAACACAGTTTTTGCAAACCATCCAAATTCTAGAGAAACCTCACCCATGCATGATACCATTTAGAAGATTTAAAAACTGCCCGAAGGCGTTCAACAGCACTACTGCATCTCCCCTTCAGCATTACTAGTTTCCTTATGCTTATGACGACTGTTTTTTCTGCAAGTTCTGGAATGTATACCGTAGGGCAAGGCATCTTGTCTACTGTTTCTCTGAAGAAGGTATTTACATCTCGGAGGGATGTTCTCATAAACAGAAAGGACTTTAGGTAATCTTAATGATAATTTCTAGGACATCGTTGTTTAAGAATTGCCCTGTGTATCCTGATCCTACTCCATTCTGTAGCTCGTCATTTTCGTCCGCGCGACTTATACCTTCACTTACTGTATACCCCTTACTTCTGCCAACTTGTTCCGTGTCCCCGTCAATTCTGAGAACATAACCTTCATCCTCTTTACCTTTGCCTGATACTCACAAGGAACCTCAAGGCCAATTCTATACCAACTCTCTTTACTCGTTTCCCGTTGACTATAACCTTTCCATTGTTGAGTTGTCAGAACGTTTTTTTGGATCCTTTATATTGTTAGGTTCGGCATGAGTGTACAAAAGTCTCCCAATCTTGGTTCCCACTCAGCCTACTCGTGATATCCCCTGAGGAAAGAGTTTACCTATACAATTTCCTGTGACATTTTAGCCATTCAGCTCACCTTTGATTTGATGTGATATCTTCTGAAATTTTTTAAATTTTTAAAAATTTTTACTCGAGCACAGTGTGGTGTAAAAGCGTAGGAGAGAATGTCCTCTGTGGGATTTTAGATTTCGTTGTGATTTTAACTTGTTTTAGCTTAGTTTAGATGTTTATTACAATTGTGACCAAATGTTATTACACTTGTGACCTTTATTACATTTGTGACCAGTTATTACATTTGTGCCTTCAACAACCTTCCCGCCCCCCACACCCCTGGCAGGGCCTCTGTAGCAGGTACCAGTATTTTAGGGTGAAAAGGCTAAAAACTGACGGCCACAGGACCCAAAGTTACCAAGATACCGTGGTTCAGATTCCATTTTTCTTGACCACACCCTCAAGTAGCACCTACCTGGCACATCATCATCATCAACATCTTCACTGGCTGGACCAGTTGGCACATTGCCAAGATCAGCTGCAAACAACAGATCAACAACTTTGCATCAATAATGGTCATTGTAAACAAATACAGGCATTTACATGAACATGCTCGCTCCCTCCCTCCCTCCCTCCCTCACTCACTCACTCACCCACCCACCCACCCACCCACTCACTCACTCACTCACTCACTCACTCACTCACCCTCTTTATCCAGGCTGGGACACAAGGCCAAAATCAAATGACGCCACTCAACCCTGTCCTGAGCTTTCACTTGACCTGTGCTTCACCCCATGTTAGACCCATCTCCTCCAGCTTGTTCATCACCCTTCTGCAGCAGGCCCCATTTGCTCAAAAGCTGGATAGCGCTATCCACCGGATAAATCACTATTCAGTGGATAAGTGTTTAAAAAACCAATTGCACCATCAAGCAGATAGAGATTTATCCGGCAGATAGCGATATCCAGCCTTTTGAGCAACTGGGCCCAGGTGGTTTTTGGCCAGAGGGGTTAAAAGACTGGGCTTCACATAGAGTTTACAGAGCTAGCAACAACTGAAGACGGTGGGGAATAAGGCCCGAAGCGACTCCTGATCAAATAGCAAATTCTCCATTTGATAAAAGGTTAATGAAAGGAGAATCTAGCAGTTTATCAAAAGTTTCTTTGGGCTTTAAGACAGGCACCCTTATTTATTTAATTTTATTTTTTGAACTCACTTGGAGGGAATCTCTCTGCCAGAGACCTCAAGTCAGACAATCCTTCAGCTCCCTTTGGAAACAAAAAGATATAATTTTATACAGTGCATTGCGAGTTACTTCTGGAAAAACACTAGTGCCCTCTTAGCCTCACCGGTCTATTTATAGCAAGCTGTGACTTGAATTTAGAAGATGAAAGAAAGCCCCTGTGGCTGCAGTTGTTATTCTAATGATATTATTGCCTCTGATCTTCCTGTCACAAGCCTGCGTCACAGACGTAGTTCAACGTCGGTTAGTAACGTCTGCGAGGCAGCACTGAGATCCTTGCTCTGTGCCCAAACAGACTCAACGAATTCCTGGAAGGGGGTTTTGAATTTCCCTTCAATCTGATTGGCAAATCGACAAAGCCTTTTTTAACAGGCCAATCGTGGCCAGTACTCAAATCCTGGTACAAAGGTGAGGGCCCAGAACAAGGATTTCAGCACTGTTTCATAGACAGACTTAACCAGAGTTTAGTTTCATCTGAGCAACAGGTTACCTGTTACCTGTCCAAATTGTTTTTGTCTGCTTTTTACTTTGTTTGTTTCCCCTTCTACTTTAAATTTTCAGCAGGAACAAGCCAGAAAACCAATCAGTACAGGTGGTAGTCTTTTACAGAAAAATTTTAGAATCTATATGTTGTGGTTCAACTTTATCCTTTGTTTAAATATTATTTCCCTTTGCTTTGGGTATGGAAATGTATGGTAATGTGTTTAACACAAAGAGAAATAAAGATTAAACCAAGGATAAAATTGAACCACTACATGTACATGATGAAAAAAAGAAATAAAAAAACAAATATTCTTACCAACTGATTTAAAATTCCAGGAAGCAATTCAGTAAGGGCTGTGCAAAACATTAAAAAAAAAAAATAGATTAGCTACTGACTGCAATGAGAAATTGTAGTTGATCATGGTCAGTGTAAACAGCCCAAAAACCACCACATGAACAGGCTGCAATGAGAATGTACCTACAGGGTCTTGCATAAACAAGTAACGTTTTTAAAACTTTTTACAGAAACTAAGACATTATTTGCAGTGTTACACTGTAAATATTACGCACTAAAAATCCAAATCAATGATGCTCAAAATAATGGGTACTGTAATAGGTACTATGCTAATCCACAATGACACTTCTCCATTTTGGAAAACCCTAACACAGCCCTTGTTCAACATAGGGGAAAAGACACCTTATTGTAAAAGGTCATAATCGTCATTATTGTCACAATTTATCACCACTGTTGTTACGACATTATCACTGCTTTATACTTTTTTTCACCTTTATTTTCTGCTAGTCCATTCACAGCAAAAGTGTTTGCAGCAAGGGAAGCCTGCACTAAAATTGAAAGAAAATTACAAAAATTAAATACAATTTAAAGACGTTTCCATCATATGGTACCATCTGTGCTGGAGGCAGGCCTGTAGCTGTATGCTCAGTAGGTTCGCAATGAGCTTTGCATAATCATGTTTTGGGCAGAGAGAGGAATTTCTTCAACCAGTGTTTGCTGAGTGGTTCTTTCAGCCAATTTTTTTTTTTCAATAAGGCAAAGAGTGATACCAAGTGATTACTTTGCTTTCAACACTTCAAGTTACCAAAAAACACATGCCTGTTCCTGTAGTTGCACTTTGTGGGGTACACTTTTTCTGTTTTCTAGGTAATCAACGGTTAAGGAGGCCCTCTTAGGTTTGGGGGGTTGGGGGGAGGGGGTGGGGGAGTAATATCTCCCTAGTCTGAATTTAAAACTTTGTATTGGGGAGGAGGCCATGTTCCTATTGATATCACTACTGCAGTTACAGCTTGTCTTTAGGTTGTTTATCATAATATTATTCTTATCTGTCTTGTTTCCCTGTTGGAAATTTACCCAAACAGGGTCTCGCATGTCCAACATATTAAAGTACAAAAGGAGATCTACCTTTAGGATTAGTAAAATGAATAACAGTTCCATCATCTTTGATCATGTTCACCTACAATAGAAGAGATCTGAAATTAATATAATGTATAGCCAAGAGTGTTTGCAATTGTGATTATATTGGATCATACAACCCTCTGCAGAGTGGAGAGAAAGTGGTGTATGACAAGGAAGGTGGAACTGGTTAGGTTACATACTCAGGGACATAAGAAGGGCGGAGTGCGAGATGAAAACCAAAACCTACTTGGAGAAGGACTGTTGAGAAAGAACAAAAAAAAGTGTGCTGGAAGAGCTGAGAAACAGCCAAAGCAGTTGCATGAGACAAAAAATGTTGGTCAGAAAGCATGGAGGCCTTATGCACCTACTGGTATGACAAGACATGATGATGATGATGATGATTTTTTTAGCCAGATTCACCACTTTTGCCATTGCACGCATTTCTTCCTGGACATAGGTGATGCCAAAAGCATAAGAAAAAGGCATCACAAAAATAGTTTCCAAGGGCAACCAGTTATCAATAACATCAGTAAGAACAGTAACAATAACAGCATCGAGCAATGTCAAAAACAAAATAATAAGAAAAAATGTTGCACTATTGTTGACAAGGTACAGAACTTAATTAGAAAACATGCAGTGGCTATTAACAGAGAAATGCTCTTCAGAGTACATACATGTAATGATGGTTTATGAAAACAAGCTTGCAACTTTTTGGTACGGTAGCACATTTACATAGAACACACATTTCATCTTACATTTACAACAATTGGGTTATTCCAGAAAAAATCCACACCCCCCCGACGGATGGGGTCCTTTTTTAACCCCCCCTCTCACCTGGATTTCCTGAAGCACAAGACCCCCCCTCCCAACTGGATTTCCAAGGTGGAAGACCCCCCCTCCCGCCTGGATTTCCGGGAAAAAATAAAAGGCTTAAATTTAATTTATTTTTAATGGAAAATACACACAAACACGTCTAAATGTTTTTGTTTTAATTTCTAAAGCTTCAGCTTATATTAAACTAAGAATTCTATCGCGTGGAACTAAAAACGAAAGGAGCAAAAAACAAAAATGCGAACGACACCTGAGCAGTGTTTACATAATTTCTTAGCTTATAAAAATCACTCTTCGCTCTTGGCTGGCTCTGGGTATGCAGTAGAAATGTGTCAGGCGTTTGACGCTCTTCGTGACAACAACGTTGCGACAAGTTCCTTCAGGCCCGTTCTTTAGTATCTTGTTCGCGTTTTCTGCTATAAAAGGACCTGTAAAGCAACTTAGATTATCATTTATGTCAGGTGAGAAATATATGAACAAAACATTTTGACTATTTTCAGAGTCTGAAAGCGCTTAAGTGTCATCGAACTAAACGTTTGATTTGTATCAACTATCGGTCGAAATGACCCCTGCAGAAGACTTTTTTAAGGTCAACCCCCCCTCCCGCCTGGATTTCCGGAGTCTTCGACCCCCCCTCCCGTGAGAATTTCCAGAATCCCATCCGTCGGGGGGGTGTGGATTTTTTCTGGAACAACCCATTAACATTTATAATTAAATCACCTCTTCAATCCCAGGGATGGGATTAACAGAAAGTTTCTTGAGAACATTCTGCAGTTTCTTATCATCTGTTGTGGCTGTCTTGTGAACAACCTTCTTTTTTCTTCTGGGTGTACCCTGGAAAGAGGAGCAGGTACTGTACATACTTGGCAATCCTGGACAAAAGTCCTTGGGACAGTGACGCAGTATTCACAATTTTCTGTAATTTCTGGTTGCCTTATAAAACTGTGCATCCTTTTCAAAATTTTCCTGCAGCTCTCCCACTCCCCACTCTATACAATACAGTTGACTCCTGATAACTTGAACCCTCGTTAACTCGAACCTCGCGCTAACTCAAAGTAGTTTTTTCCCCCTCATATCATTTCAATATAATTTTACCCTCAATAACTCGAACCATGTTTTGAGCCCAGGTCGGGAAAAGACAGTCTACTGGCGTCTGACACATTGAATTTTGAATATCCCTTTGACGTGTTGTAGGCATGTAGTTTACTGGTGGAGGCTGATTTTGTCACAAATCTAACATGAAACAGCTTTACTTCTCAAAACAGTAAAACACATGCTCTATTTAGGCAACATTTTGTTACATTACATTCTGATGTATAATCTAGAAGTATCTTTCAATTTTCACTTAACATTTTTACCATTAACCGTGATTAAAATGTTCACTGTGCAGTAAAAACTGTTTTTTTCCTTACTTCCGGCTATTTTCTTCGAGCTCCCAATAACTTGAACTCCCAAAAACTTGAACTTTTTTTGATTTCCCTTGAAGGTTCAAGTCATTGGAAGTCGACTGTAATGAAACTTGGAAAAATTCTGGATACACGCGTCCAGTGTTGTTTGTGTGGGCTAAACGGGGGGAGGGGGGTTGATTTGTGTGAATTGAAAAAAGCCCCACAAATGTAAAAATGTCCCAAGCCTTTTGTCCATGATTATATATGCAATAAAACTCAAATTGTTTTAGAGTATTGCATTAACACAGCTTCATCAAATAAAATAGTACAATAATATCCAGAAGTACAATAAATACATATTGGCTCTGAAGACAAAGCACTAGACTGCAGAGAGCGAGGTCTCTGGTGCCATCACCAGATAAACAATACTCGGGATCTTTTAATAACTGAGCAAGAAGGAAAAGTAGTCCTTTACATAGCTGACTTGACCATGTAGAAATGACATTCCTGTCTCCATTGGGAGACATAAAAACATTGTCCTCAATAATATTTTTGTGCTAGAAACATTAACATTTCAATAAATTCAGTTTTTCCTCTTACCTTTCCTCCTATCCTCACATTATTTTGCAGTTTTGTCAACTTTTCTTGATTCATTTCTTAGTCTGTAAGTAAATAATGGACATGTGTAGTTCAAAAGGAAGCTAAGGTTAACATGGTTTCAACCTAGCTTGATTCTCAATTTCATCTGCCTTGCCCCTAAACCTAACTGTTCATGATTATGAACAAATAACAGGGCGCTCATTGAGCATCGGAGGTCAGAGAATTCTCCTTCTACTAGGCTAAATTCTCTGCCTAATGGTTAGTACAGTGGAATCCTGCCTTACGGCCACCTGGATAATACGATCACCTCGTCATTACGGCAAGTTTTTTGCGGCCCGGTGAAACGGCCATACATTTCCTTATAATAAAACCCTGTTAATGTGGTCACTCGTTAATACGGCCAACGGCCACATTTTAAAACCCCAAACAGTAGAATCTCTTACAATTTCACACCGTTAACATGGCCACTCTGACATTCGAAATTTAGAAAATTAAGTGCCTGTGACATGACAATTTTATTGACCTAGTAATCTGAGCTTGTTCTTGTACTGTTTTTAGACTACAGTACACTTAAAATGCACTTGTAGCGATTTATAGCAGAATTTTAAAATAATTTCATGTACTGAAAGAACATTTTAAGTGATTTTTTTCAATTACTGTATGCGATATCTACATTCCGGTTGTTTATTAATGAGAACAGTATGGTGAATGCAATGTACACTTTATTAGTCATTACGGCCCTAAAGTCATGAAATTTGAACCTGCCCCGATAATACGGCCACCCCGTTAATCTGGCCAAATCTTTTGGGCCCATTAGTGACCGTATTAACGGGGTACCACTGTAGTTCCAAGTGCTGCTTGACGTGAAACATTATTGCCAATTGTCTATAGCCTTATTTTAGCTTGTGTGGTAATAACTTAATGTAATTACATTAATCAGTTCAGTTTGAGCTTATTTTCTTGATTCATGTATTTTTCATGGACTACCACCTCCCGTAAGCGACCAGTTTGTCAAGCACCAAGGGAGGTCGCTTACGAAAGAGCTGACACTATACAGTTTAGAATAACACAAATTACACCTATCTAGAAATTCGAGTGTGAAAAAACAGGCAAACAAAAAAATATTAAGTAAAGCTTATGCCTAAGGAAAGAAACAGGCTTATATTAGAGCTCAATCAAGTTTCAGTCAAAAGACTTCGTTTGAGCATATTTTCTTACACTTCAAAAAACAGACTGATTGTGGCAGCAGGCAATGGATTTTACTTATAGATATGAATAATATTATTACATTGTAAGGTAGAATGATGGTGGAAAAGGATCAGCTTATTTCCACACCCGCTAAGTATAATTCTAACACATGCACCCTCTAAAAATTCCATTCGATTCTTGTTGCGGTTAAGGTTACTGTAATTTTATGTACAGAATTGGGATCTTTCCTGAGACCTAACTTCGGATTTTCAATCACTATTAAAACCAAAAAAACAAAGACCCTACCGTCCCATAATAATCGATTGATTTTCTCTCATCTTATCTCGATTATCGACCCTATGTAAGCTTAGATTGCAGCGTGCTAAAGCGACGAACATTTCAAGAACATGTGAATTTGGTTGTCCGAAGACTGGAGCCCCAAGTTGAAAATAAACAGAACAGCAGGCAAAAGTACGCTAAAACTTACCTATTTGTTGTATTTGAAACAAAAAAGGAGCGTACGTCCCGTTAAAATGTCATCAAAAAGGTTTTCCTTCGCTAAACACGAGGATGACTTGATGGGCACGATGGCGTAAGAGAACATGCCGTTGTTGCGCATGCGTGTATTTCGCATCGTGAGAGACTGGAACGAGCAGAAAGCTTTGCATTGACGTGAAAGAAAAGCTGGGGTGGGGAGGGGAAGGGGAGGGGCAGCATCAAGCAATTTTACCGATACGGTAGCCATATTGAATTTATTAGATTTAAGGAGTATTATGGGATGCCAAAGGGGCACTCGCTCAGCATTTACGCGTGCTTTTTGGCCAAAAAGAGAACTTCACTGTATATTTCTCGGGGAAAAAGGCGATCATTATTATACATCCAACACGGCGCGCACAACGATCTTTCTTTCCCATTAGATTACAATCTTTTTCTAGGAAAACTTGACGAAAAATTGGCCCAAGGTTTGCAGTTCCTATACGCAAATCCGTAGATGTTTTGTGTTCAATGTAGAATTCCGTTAGTTTTTAGGTATTTATACAGGTACTCTTAGTTGTATCTCCCTGATGAAGAGTGCGCTAGTCACACGAAACGCGTAGGAGACAATAAAACAGTTCAGTTTACAACTCAAGAACTTCGCAGAAGTGCTTCTCACTGGTTTATCCTTTTAAATATCCCGGATACCGAAAAACTCATTGAGGACTCTCTAAACGGAGTGTCGCGAAATTGGGCCACTTAGACCTGGCCATAATCAACGCAAAACTGAACGGAATTGGACTGAAGAATAAGGCGTGGATAGGCAAAATTAAAGAATATTAAAAAGCACTGCAATTTAAAAACTTTCAAAACTTTTCAAACTAACAGTATATACGCGTCAGGAACAAACATGGTTAGGAACAGTGTAGCGCTGATAAGTTGATTACAATTAAAATTTGTCTTTTGTTCTTAGCGCTAAAATGTTTGAAAATGCATGGGGCGGGGGAGAGAAATGCTTCATTAAATATAGAAGTTTGTATTTTTTGACCCCAGATGTTGATGTGATGTAAGGAAGATGAAGAGTTAACTTACGTTATGCTCTTAGTGTTGTCTTTCAAGTTTGGCCCTGGCTCCTCCCTGAAAAGAGGATGTAACGATGCTAATGCCAGACGTCACTTGAAGTGGGAATTAAAACAAAACTGAATGCTAGGCTGGCAATACGGCAAAGGGCGGATTTATTTGAGGTTATAGTATTCCCTTTCAGTGTTGCTCTGGCTCAAAGGAAGTTTAATTTTGTTAACCGAAATATTGGCCTCGAATAAATCAACCCTTTGCCGCCTTGCTTTCAGTTTTGTTTTAATTGCCACTTCAAGTGACGTCTGGCATTAGCATCTTACATTGAAGATCCGACAAGAAAGAACCAGTCGGTTTTATTTACGCGTTGAGTGGACCACTGCATTCAAAGGTTTCTTTCTCCATCCACTCCTGTTGACTAGCTAACCTACGCGAATGCCAGCAACGTGAACGTCGCAGCATAAATGCTAAAGATGATAGCTTTAGTAGCTGACGGGAAAAGCGGATGAGTGCTTTAGTTTCAGTGTAGGCGGGATTTTCCCTCGCGGCTTCGGCGCTAGGCGCTCGCCTCGCATGGCAGCTCAGCCTACGAGAAAGTAGCCCAGGCATAACAATCCCGCCAGCTACTAGCCTGTTCCAGGCTCCGAGACAGTCGGGTCCGCTGAATTGAGAAAGCGCGAACACGAAAATAAAACGAGAGGAAACTGGGAGAGGAGAGGACTCTGTCCCTTCCTTTTTCCTTTTTCCCGCCCTTCCAACGTTTTGCACGCCTTTCTTTCGCGTCTTCCCCACACTTTCTGAGATCCTGGAACAGGCTAACGGCCAGGCTAACCAGCTGCAGTTACGAGTACGCAGGCTAAAGAAAGTATTGGTATACCGGAAGACACCTGTCAGCGGGTTAAGTGTTTGAGGTCAAATAGCGCTCGTGACCTAACCCTGCCTCGAAAAAGTTCGAATACGGGATTAAAATGATGGAGGATTAAGAATGTTGATCGATTTCGAAAAAGTGTTTTGCATACTGACAATTCATATACATGTATATCATGACCGATTACGTCACCAAATTAAGAGCTACCTGGCATTTCAATTGTCAGTGAGTATAAGACATTTTTTGTGTCGTCTGGGTTTGCGTGCGTAGTTGAAAAGTAATTTGATGAGTGAATGTGGCGCGTTCAAGAATGGCGTGAGTTCAAAAGACAATGGCGTTTAATGGACATAATTGTGGTTATTATGGGCTGTGTTTATTAGAAGCATTGCATAATAATGGCGATCAGGTCAATTGTTCTCGTTCTTTTTGCCCGCTTTCTTGTCTCAGCAAGTGCCACTTACTGTTTGCATAGTAGTGATTGCATATCAGATCTACAAACTTGCTGCTCAGATCATGTCTGTAGACAAACATGCTACTTCTGCTCGAACGATTACCAGTGCGGCTCTGAGGAATGTTGTTCCCCTGATGGCAACTGTTGGATGAAATGTTCAGACGGTGGATGCAGGAAAGACTGTTTCTACTGCTCCAAAGATTCCGAGTGCGATGCTGGCCGTGGGGAGTGCTGCTGGGATAACGACTGCAGGAAGAAATGCTCCGATGGAGTCTGCAGAGGACAGTGTCTCTATTGCGTGGCCAGTTCGGATTGCGGAGCTGGAGAGTGCTGTGACGATAACGGTGACTGTAAACTCGATTGTACCCTGGCCGTACATGTGAGTTTAACCCATGCAGGCATCGCAGGGATAATTGTTGCCTGTGCGGTGGTCGTTGCTATCGTGGTCTCCATCATTGCGTGCTTCTGCTGTGCGTGTTGCCCGTATTACCGCAATCGTCATGAAGGGGCGACAGTGCTTGTTGGGAGTCCAGCCACAGGCTACCATCAGTTTGTGTCAACAGCTTCATCACAGCAAATCGCACAGGCCTCTCAGCCACTGCCACAAATTGGCCCATACGCTGCCCATCAGGATCAAGAACTGTCTCCTCATCCACCCGCTTCAGCCCCATACCCCTCCGCACCAGGTGTGTCTCTTGGGCCATACCCACAACAGAAGAAGCTGTAGAGGCCATGACCCTTTGACCCTTTAAGCCCCAGTATCCACATACAAATTCTCCAAACTGATCTCCATACATTTCCTTTAAGAATGAGTTGAGAGAATTTAATAAAACATCGAGGCCTTTTCTCTTTCGTGATTATTTTTTATATTCTCACAACCTTATCTCTTGACAATGTATGGACATTGTTAGGAGAAAATGCTGTTGGTCACTATTGGGACTTAAAGGGTTAATACCAAGCTTCTATTAGTTCACGTTTGGGAAGAATGAACCTTCGTAACTTACT